GCCTCGTCGCCACGGCGCGTTCCGCAAGATCCCGCTCGCAAATCTCGCCGACGAGCGAGCAAATATTGCATCGCGCCGCGCGTTCACGGCGCGATCGCGTCTCCGTGGTTTTCGAACAAATAGCGACGATCAACGGGACAGAGAGAGAGAGAGAGAGAGAGATGCGATCGAGGCGAGAGTGAATTCTCGGAACGATATCGCGAGACCCGTCGCGGTGCGATTCGCGCTGCAGAGTCCGACGTTTGTCGCTGTTATAATTAACGCTACTAACGACTCGACGGCTGATCGAGCGGGAGCTTGACCGATCGAGAGATCGTGGGAGAGACGCCTCGTTCACAGCTCGCTTGTTCAGTGCTCGCCGCTCGAAAGACTCCGGAGAGTCAACCCGCATCTGTTCTAATTGTGTTCGCTGTCGCGTTCGTCTCCATTGATCGCGCATGGAAGTTTAAAGCGCGAACGAGTGACCATGGCAACGCAGAAAAAACCGTAGAATCCCAGAGACGCGCGCGCGTCATCGCTCGCTGCGCGAGCAATCGCTCGTCGGACGCGCTTAATTGCGTCCGTCTCACGGCAGCTTAATGAGCTGGTGATATATCGCCGCGCCGCGATTATCGATGTTTGGACGAGCCGTGTCGAAAATCGCGAGGAGACGCGCGGTGATCGCGAAGAGCCGCCGTCGCTTTGAGATCCTCAATACGGACGCGCCCTCCTCCCCCTGCCCCCTTCGCTAAACGCAAAGCGCGAGATAATGCGGAAACAAATTGGACGTATTGTGTATGCATACGTGCACGAAAGTTGCCATGAGGGATCTTCACCGGCTCGTTTCAGCAGTGGCGTAAGTAGACGAGCGAGTACCCGAGGCACTCGGCGCCTAAGCACATCCGCCTTGCCTCTCGATATGACCTCCTCCTTGCCCCCCCTCCCTCTCCACCTTCTCCTGCTGCCACGAACCTGCTACGCGAGGAGTATAAATTTATTATCCGCCGACAAAGAAGTGCTCGCGCAAAGCTGAAGAAGCGACCCTAATGAGCCGATGAATATTACACGCGGATTTACCGCGCCCGGAGATAAATGCGGTCAATTTCTCGCAACCGCTTCCCTCCCCTCCTTCCCCGCTCACCCCCTCGATATGTATCTCGCGTGTCACCCAGTGTCCGTGGCGAATCGATTGATCGGTCGGTAGGACAGGCGGAGGAAAGGGCAGGGCAGGGCAGGAGAACAACGCGCGAGGGGGTTGAAGGAGGGGTTGAAGATTGGGGTGAGAAGAGGAACAGTCTCGATACAGTCGCAGGGTAGCGCGCGGAGAAGCGGTTCCTGGACAACTCGCGCTCGCGGCGTCCGAGCGTCTCGGAGGACGACATCACTGCATTACCGCGGCCCGGTCGCGGGATAGATGTCGCGCCGTAATTGCACCGTCCTTCACGGGAAATGCGGCGCGTTATTCGGCGGTATTATGAACACAAATCTCCGTCGTCGTTCCCCCGGAATGTTAAGCGAGAGTCGCATTTCAGCTCTCTCGCGGGCCCGTTCTTTTCATGGAAACGATCTCGTCGAGGTGCGGCGTGCGCGCGCGCGAGGGAGGCGGCGGCGGCGGCAGGTAGCGCTCTCAAGGAATTTATCCGGAGCACCGCGCATTTAACGACGCGGCTCTTGATACATCCAAATGGGATTCCCGTGTCCGCCAGCGCGGGACTCGCATGACGGCGTGACTTCGGCGGCGCGGCCGCCGAGGTCGACTCGCCGACGTCAATTATCGGCTCCCGCGCGCGCGCGCGCGCGTCTCGTCGCGACGTATTTTCGCGTCGGGCGATTTAGCGCAGTCGAACCGTGGCGAGAGAAAGACACATCTCGAGGACAGCCCGTGTCCGTTTCGGCGGATTTCCCTCGGAAGTCGCGCTCTCCCGATCTCGCAATCGCGTCGAGCGAACAACGGTTGTCGACGGGAGAGGCGACGAATCACGTGCGAGGAAGAAGTTGTCACCGAGAAAAAAGTAATTTCGGAACAAGCGGAATCGTCTAAATTTTAGAGGATTTTATTCTCATATATGGCCTCACGAGAATTCCTCTAAGATCAAGAGGAAAATATTATAAATATACATTATTCTTATAGTTAGAGGAATCATATGTTGTATGTATAATGCAAGTCTTACTGATTTAAATATAAATTTCCTCTTATTTACAAATTATTTAATCTTTTTTTAAGAGAATTATTATTTATTCTTACCGTACTTTATTCCTACTGATTATACCGGTTAATTTGAAAAAATTATTATAATATATAGCGAAAAGTAATATATATATATATATATATATATGTACTTCTGGCTCCAGTTTTACAATAAGCAATCAGCACGAATGAAATAAGATTATCATAACAAATAAATTTCCAATCAGTTACTTAGTACAGCTCATACAAAGTTCATACAAAAGTTCGTTATAACCAATTGTACGAAACATAGTTAAAAGAACGAATATATTATTCAACTTCTTGCAATAGATTATAAACTGTATTTGACCAAATATGGGTAAATTATCTTCGTGATATATTATAGCAACACACATAGCTTTTTGAAAAGTGTTTCAAATATTCTGATCCACAAGCATATGGTTATTTTTTTGTTCATGTCTGGAAGTAGAGCATGACTGAACAAAAGAAGCCGACATTCACATCAACATATTCCTCTTCATACAAGAGGAAAATTAATTGATATAATTGAAACTCCTCTTGAGATAAGAGGAATAATATCTAAGTTAGATATATATTAATAATATCTAAGTTAGATATATTAATAATATCTAAGTTAGAATAATATCTAATAAATTTTAGACGAATGGTTCACTTTAATCGCTTCATCGAAAGAGAGATCCTTTTTCTGTAAAAGGCTTCGCTTCGAATATGAGACTATGGGAAAAATCACTTTACAAATAGAATACTTTTTAGGTGTGATCCTGCGATTTATGATTGCGGTCCGCGATGACAGGCAAAATATACGGTCGAGGCGCTTCGATATCCAAGTGATTGCTACTTGGGCAGACAAGACGCTGCCGGACACGCAAATTGGGCCCGCTGTTTCGCTCTCGTCGTCCCTTCTCCCGCGCTGACGAACAGGCCAGAAATTTCGCGTAGAAATACCGCGGTTCTGCCGGTACTTTTTTTGCCACTACCTGTCTCTCGCCGAGAGCGTTCGCCTCTCTTTGCCCTCGTAGGTCCCGTTGCAATTCAGAGAAAGACAGAGAGGGAAAGCGTAACACGATAGAATAAGCCTGAATGAATCAATGTAACGCGCCGAGCGCAGTGGCGTGCGGCGCAATTAACGAGAGTACACGCTGAAGTACGCTAGAGAGTAGGCGATGCCGCCGCTGCGAGTACTTGCGGTGTAAGAGCTGCGACGCGACAAAATACGCCCCGGAAAACGGCGGGATGCACTAAAGTACGCCGAACGTACGTATGTACGGTATATGACCGCGGCGCGCCGCTGCGGGGTGAGAGAGGGGAAGAGAGGGCGAGAGCCGGAGAATAACGGGATGTGATTTAAGGACAGCCGTAAAGGATGACGAAATATGATCTAAAGCGCGCGCGTTAGAGAACCGCGCGAGAACGAATATGGCGTGTAAAGTGCGGGTCGAGGCCCGTCGCCACCGCCGCCACCGCCGCCGCCACCGCCGCCGGTGGCGGTGGATGCCAGAGAGGCTACGCTAGGGGAAATATATTCCAGCCCGCCCGAGTTTAGCGGAGCGCGCCGTAATTTGCCAGAATACGTCGGCCGATGCCGGCGGATAATAGAGTACAGTAACGCTCGCGTTAGAGCAGGCCGGGGGATAAACACGTGCGCGCTATATACTTTCGTTGTGTCGAGTCGCGTTCAGCGTCGATCAAGCGTCGATCGGCGGAGAGGCGGAAATTTCGACGCGAATAAAACGAGTCCGACAATGGAGGAACTTTCTTCGGCTACGTCCTCGCGTAACTCGGTATCGGGTTCTCATACGTACCGACTCCTTCCAGAAGAACGGTGTCGCGACGTTATCGGAGACTTCCGTCGCGGGAAATGGACGACGGGAGGGGAGGGGAGGCGGTGGTTAATAGCGCTAAAATCATAATTATTTTTTACGGCGACCGTAAACCTCTCTTGGTCGCTCCTCTGAAACGGAGAAGCAACAGCGGGAACACTCACGTGTCAGATTATCATCACTGTGATCGCGGTTCAGCGCGTGCCGCGGAAATCGTGTCTTCATGTATCCCTGCCTGCGATTCTACGAAGACCTACTTTCACCTCCTGTGGCTACAGAAATAGCAAGATTTCTTCTTCGACGTGGAAAGATCAAAACGCCCGGCTGGGATTCGTTATGATTAAAGGAAGTGTAAACAGGCGAAGGAGAGCCGACACGTTGTTCTTTCTCCCAAGAACATCAGACTTCCGAGGAGTTGGAGTTTACTCTGCAAGACTGTCTACGGCTCGATCGAAGCTGAAGGGGACGAGACCACGCAACGAGAGCGGCGTCTTGCCGCTCGCTTGCCTATGATTTTACTCTGACTGTACTTTAGGCAGCCTATTTATTTCTTATTTATTTGTTCATGGCCATTTATTTGTTCATTCGCGCCATTATAGGCATCGCCGAGATGGCCCAAGAATGTCCCGCAAGAATTCCGCCGTATTCGAATGTCGCAGGCCTCGTTGACTCCGCGCTTCGCGACTCGATTCTCGCGGATTTCTCGCAATTCTCGTCGCGTTCTTCAGGTCGACTCGGCCGGGCGCTGAAGGGCGGGATCGCGCACCGCGGATTAAACGCTCGCAACCGCGCGAGAGGTGGCAAGCTGCGTCTCGTTACGACGTTATGAGATAGGGTGTGTGTTTTGGACTTCCGTTGCGTCGCCGTCTCTTTCCTCCGCAAGTGCAAGCCGCGCGCAGCTGCGGACCGGCGCAAAACGCGCGCTCTCGCACGTCGCGCCCCGGCGCAGAAGGCGGCTGTCATGGCGGCGGGATATCGATCTTGGACCAGTGGGATGCTGACCAGAGCCGACGCTTCGCCGCTCCGTTCAGCGCTGAGAATTTTCGGTCACTCGGTTCGCCGTCCGATTTCTTTTCTACGCTCCTTAATTGTAGAATTACTGCCAGGGTGCATCTCGAGCCGCTCCTCCGCCGAGAAAGAGGGAAGCTTGCGCGCACCTGAGACGTGCCCCGGCACAGCGACGCGTTTGTAAACAGCGACGAGGAGATGCGGATCCCGGTGTTCACAGTCTTGCTCAACGTTCTCAACATCGCTCACGGTAAGCGCGCTCTCCTTACGGATGCGAGACGCTGCGTCTCGTTCAATTAAGGTGAACGTCCCAATGGCCGGACACGTCCCAGTATCCGATCACTTTGAAAAAAATATTTACTATTTATTTCAACAATAATGAATGAAAGTAATAGTTATTGTAAAAATTACTCCAATATTTTTTTGACGATTAATTGGAAAAAAATATATCCAATTTGATACTTTTGTGTTAAAATAAAAATTAATTAAATAAGTATGCACCTATGGTTTGGCAAAGTAATGGTCCATTGTTAATAAATTCATTAAGAGATGACATCTATATTTATATATTATTTCCCGTTAGCACATACTAATTTTCTAATTGCGGTTAGACACTGGAGGATAAATTACATCCGAACATTGGGCCATAACCTATTTCAACTGTCCGGTCACTGGTACATTAATGCGCTTCATTACCTGTGCAAATATTTCATTAATAATAGATATATATATTGGTTTAAATCAGGGTTTCTCAACCGAAAAAGCATTCTTGCGAAAAAACATTCTTGGGAGTGCGAGGAAAAGTGATTGTAATTAATAATGATTAAGATGAATTCTGGAATGATCCGGCATTTTTACCGTCAAATCTCAGAAAATGTTATTAAAATTATATATTTTTTTACGTATCTATATGTATATATTCATTATGTATCACTGTGCAAAGCTTAATACCATGGATAATAATTGTATAATATTAAAATGATAGTTAATTTCTATAAAACAATACTATGTAATAATAAATTATTATAAATTAGCTTCTTACTTAAAAACCCTAACAATTAATTTCTACCATGAAACATATGAATAATTTCTTTTGTAGGGGGTGCGAAGGTTCATTAATAAATTTTTAGGGGTGCGAAATACAAAAAGGATTGGGAAACTCTGGTTTAAATCACTTTTCTTTACTTAACGGAATCTTAAGTTTTCGAATAAATGCAAATATTTATATCAAAACTATTCTTAATATTATATATTGTATTTTTTGTGACGACCTACGCTTAAACGTCCGGTTACTGGGACATTTACCTTATGCGATGTCTTGTCTCGCCCTTCGCGCCTCGTCGACCCTCCCCGCTGGTCGCAGTGTCCGATGGATGCACATTCGCTACAAAGTACTGTATCGCTGCCTCGAGATCTCTCAGCCACCCTAATACTTGTCGATTCGTCCTTCGCTGTATTTTAATATTTGGTCTATTAGCAGAGTGCGCTAATGAGAGGGAGAAGAGGAAGGTAATGGGAAGACCAGTGCGTCTCTCCGTGAGATACACTGCGACATACTTATCGATTGGTTCCTCACAGCTTTTTATGTATTTTAATTCCTGGTCTATTAGCAGAGTGCTAATGAAAGGGAGATTGTACGAGGAAGCGAAGAAGGATAATGGGAAGACCAGTGCACGCATCCGTGAGATATCCCGCGACCATTCATGGGCGAAAAATATTGCGGCCAACAGAGGGGGTTAATCGCACCGCAAATCACAGACACGAGCAAGTCATGGACGCGGGTAACTCGAGTAGATCGTGTGACCATTATTTGATACTGCATAAAGCGGTTCTTTTCTCCTCTTCTCTCTATCTCTCTCTCTCTCTCTCTCTCGCTCTCTTTCTCTCTTATTAATCGCCCTGCTGATGAGAAGACGGCCAAGTCGTGCACGCGAGAAACTGTTATCGACCACGTGCCCTTTATTTTCCACGAGGTGTGAAACGGTAATTTCGACTCATTTTCTTACCGTGTAATTAGGAATCGCGATTCGTGCTTTTCGCGCCTCGTTCTCCCCTCGAAGAGTGCGGCTCTTGCGCCAAGACAGGCGAATGAAGCATGATGATCCCCCTCTCTCCCTCTCTTTCTCTCTTTCGCGCAGGGAGCAAGGTCTACGAGGCGAATCCCGACACGAAGAGGCTGTACGACGACTTGTTGTCCAACTACAACAGGCTGATACGTCCTGTCATCAACAATACGGAGACCCTGACCGTTTTGCTGAGTCTGAAGTTGTCGCAGCTGATAGAAATGGTACTGTACCCACGCACGCCGATAACAAAGCCCGTTTTCAATTAGTTAGTACGTCCCCAAGCAGAACAAGAAATCATGATGACATCAAAACGACAAGAAAATGACCGAATCATGATGAGAAAAAGAGTTTTCCTCATCATTTTGACGTCATTTTGATGTCATCGTGATTTTCTGTTCTGTCTAGGTTCGAACAGCCCTCGGACGTTTACTCTCCCTCGTGATTCTTCCGCGGCACTAACGACCAAGTTTGACCTTGCAGAATCTAAAGAACCAGGTGATGACAACGAATGTCTGGGTGGAGCAGGTAAAATGCCTTACATATCCGCTTCGCATTGACTCGTTTGACCTTCGCGCCTCCGTTGCTCGCAGAAATGGTTCGACTACAAGCTGCAGTGGGATCCGGCGGAGTACGGCGGTGTGGAGATGTTATACGTGCCTTCCGAAAATATATGGCTCCCGGACATCGTGCTGTACAACAAGTAAGTCGCGAAGAACTCGCGCAAGCCGGCAACAATGAGCTTATTACGCCGTGGAAGAGCGTCTCGTCCTCGCGATTGTCGCCGGAATCGTGCGGAGTGAGTCGAAGAGACGAGACTCGTTGGGAAACTGTTAGTCCTGCGTGGAAATATGCGAACTACGTGAATTCAGATTCAGCCGAATCGAATCGCGTGAAATTCGACTAGAGTCCCAAGTCCGAACTGTCCGGAGATTTGGAAACGCGAAAATTTAAATTACACTCCTATATAAGAATCGGCACAAACAGAAAGGGTCTAAGCTGAGACTACATTTTTCACAACTTTCACTTGAAAGGAATCAATTAATGCAAAATTAAATAACGAGGGCAATTCAATTTTAATATTAATAATTATAATCTAGGATATATTTTTGACGTGGGTGGGAGATCGATTCGATCAAATCGTCGTTTTATTCCCGTATGTAGATTAAAATTATTCCAGAATATTATATTGTCAATTAAAAGTTAAGTTTCCACGACGACGTCCTCGATTCGCATACCTCTAGTCTCGGGCTTTTGCAGCGCGGACGGGAATTACGAAGTGACGCTGATGACGAAAGCCACGCTCAAGTATACCGGCGAGGTATCCTGGAACCCGCCGGCCATCTACAAGTCGTCCTGCGAGATCAACGTGGAATATTTCCCGTTCGACGAGCAGTCGTGCATCATGAAATTCGGCTCATGGACGTACAACGGTTTTCAGGTTATAATAATGTGCACCCGTGTAATCGAGACTGGGCATCCCCGGGTCGCCATCTTGATCTGAGTTTCTTTTACGATTGTGAAATTGATTTTCACGAGAAGCTCGATGGTGTCCGGAGTGATTGACAAAAAATGTAGAGCTTTGTTGGCAGAACGGCTGGATAATCTCCAGCCAATTCTCCAGAGTGGACTTTTTGTCGGGACGAACGACTTTCGTTTGGACAATTTATCGATAGAATATTTTAATAGCGCGGCCCATGACACTCTTTTTTCTACGGCACTCTTCGAAAGTACGCTTTGTAAAATTGCTCGTTAATAGGTAGACCTGAAGCATATGAAGCAAGTGGCTGGCAGCAACCTCGTGTCGATCGGCATAGATCTCAGCGACTTTTACCTGTCGGTGGAATGGGATATCCTGGAAGTACCGGCAGCACGCAACGAGGAGTATTATCCGTGTTGCGAAGAACCTTATTCAGGTACGCAAAGCTTCAGCGTGGTCGCGCGATTGTGGTTGCCTCGCAGTGACGCAAAGCATTTGCACTCACGTTATTCTTTATTCGTACCTTGGCGTATTCTCTCGGCGTATCAATATCAAGATGGGCTTGAAAACACCCCTAAAAGACCGTGGAGAGCCGTGCAAGCTTGAGAAAACAATGATATTCAAATTCCTTAATCCCTGAGGTCATTCTTCTCGAAAACGAAACCTCGCCGTGAGGAGGGAAATCCGTTCTACATTTTCGGCTTGTTTCTCTTCCACGAGAGTATCTGATAACGAAGAAGGTTTGGTATTCCTGTAATATCAGTGCACGTTGCCTTGCAGACATTACGTTCAACATCACGATGAGGAGGAAGACTTTGTTTTATACCGTCAACCTGATCATCCCATGCGTCGGCATCACATTCATGACGGTGTTGGTTTTTTACCTGCCCAGCGACTCCGGCGAGAAGGTGAGCAGGCGACTCGTTGAGAAACTTCTTGGTGACCAACAGCTTGCGGCGAGCTCGTACTATTGTCACCCCACATGGTGTTTCTCGCGCAGGTGTCGCTCTGCTCCTCCATTCTCCTGTCGCTGACGGTGTTCTTCCTACTCCTGGCCGAAATCATCCCGCCGACGTCGCTGGCCGTACCTCTTCTAGGGAAGTACCTGTTGTTCACCATGATTTTGGTCACCCTGTCCATCTGGATCACCGTCTGCGTCCTGAACGTGCATTTCCGGTGAGTGGTGATGAGGGAGATCAACCAGCTCCGCGTTTTGCGTCCTTAATTCTCGCGTGTCTTCATTTGATCTCGGATACCACCGTGTCGGCGAGTAGATCACCCTCCACGCACAACATGCCGCCGTGGGTGAGGCAAGTGTTTCTCAACTGGATGCCGAGGGTGATGCTGATGCGTCGCACGCCATATTCCACGCCCGAGTACGACGACACTTACATGGACAGCGGCTACACCAATGAGATAGATTTCAGGTAATGCTGATTGCTCGCTGGTTAAGCTGTCGGAGAGAGCGAATCGCTTCGAATAGCATCGGTCTGCTCCGACCTTGAATCGCAATTATCGGTACCGGCTCAATCAAGCGCTCCAAGAAATACCTTGCGCGCCTAGTTCGTAATGACGGGGTGGAGACGGTGGCAAAAAGAAAACGAAAAGTTTCCTTCCTGAGCGCTCGATTATCCGGGTATCGTCGGGATTGAAATCAATTACTTCCCCCTGTCTCTATTTCTGCAATTCTCATGGCAGCGTGAGCGACTACCCGCTGGAAATAAAAGGGAGCCCGAACAGATTCGACACCGTCACGCCAGTGTACAAAATCCGAGACGACGAAACACGACACATACCGCACGCGTCAGGTAATGTCTTCTCCGTCGCATGTCGAGGGACGTTCGGCGTTCCTTCAGTTTTTCAACGCTGACCCAAGTCAAGTGGATAATCGCGGTTCGATGAGTCAATCTTTTATACTTTTCGTTTTGTTAAGGGATTTATTTTCTCGTTGCTTCCAGATTTGATTGATCTTTATGGTGGTGATTTTTTTTTTAATTCCACGTTACGAGATTTTATTTTTCTAAATTTTAGTGTTTAGCTAAAATTAACTAATTTTAGTAATAAATTAGGCGCACGACTCCTGCATGTGCATACATGCTTTGTTCGAATCGCTTTGAAGCCTGTTCCGCTTAGATTTTTGTTTTTCAGTCGCATAATTCATCGTTAGATCAGAAAGTTTTTATGTCTCGTTAGTGAATGAGGAACAAGTTTGTTCGAGCCGCTGTTCGTGCTATTAAAAAATAGAAAGTTCATTTGATTCGTCGAGTCGAGCTACTCGAAGATACAAGTATGTTTGAGCTGCCGTTTAGCCACGCTATTTAAAAGTAAAAGATCACTGAGCCACCGCGAAATCGCAATACTTGAAAATTAAAGTCTTACTACGACCTCGATTTTTTTTTTATTGAATAAAAATATACAAAAGATGTTGGATAACAGAAACTTAGCTTATTTTTCCATATCGGACTTCGCTTGCTTTGTTTCCATAAAACTAAATTATTTTACCTTGTCGACTCCTCGATGTCCTCAGGTCCCTTGTACCACCTATTAATGTTCTTATACATGAATATTTTTTAAAAAGGAAAAGGGTTTGATTTATAATCGTTAGTTCATCCACCGACGAGATACTATAAAGACTGTTGGTCTTACGGAATTTAGCGTACCAGAGAAATCTCACTGTTAGCGCCCTTTTAGAAATACCGTGGCCGGAATGTAAAACATAGCTCGAAATAAGCATGGATGGTAACAGATATGAAATAATGGGAAAAAGATATCGGAAAATATCAAAAGACTATCAATACGGGAAACAGGTCGAATGTGTGTGTGTGTGTGTGTGTCTGCTAAGATTGCGAGATGTGAGAAAATTTGGAATAAATTTTATTTTGAATATATACACACGTTGGCATTCCTTGAGTTAATAATTCGAAGTTGAAATAATATTAAATTTGCGGTCAAAGACATATGTACAGAGTGTTTCACGAATTCCTCGCCCCGAAGAATTCATGGAGACATAGAGCGGATTAAGATAAATATAAAACTCCCATACCATTTTGCGATATTCGCAATAACTCTCGAGTTATTAATTATAGGAATGTAATAAATGAGCACGCGCCGAGATGATATCAAAAAAGCATCGAAGCCGCTCGGCCCAAAGCGCGGCCCACTTAACGACTGTTGCCAGCGCGCGGCGAGGGGAAGGACAATGCGCTACTATTTGTATTTTATCAAGCCGCTATTCGTGTTTTATCGTCTTCGTAGTCTTCGTCATCTTCGTTATCCCCATCGCCTTCATCGTCTCCGTCGTCGTTTTCGTCGTAGTTTTCGTCGTTTTCATAATCTTCGTTGTCTTCATCATCATCGTCGTCGTCTTCGTTGTCGTCTTCGTCGTCAACTTCGTCGTCATCTTCGTCGTCGTCGTTGTCTTCGTTGTCTTGGTCGTCTTAGTCGTCTTCATTGTTATCTTGGTCGTCTTGGTCGTCTTCATCGTTGTCTTGGTCGTCTTGGTCTTTTTCATCGTTGTCTTGGTCGTCTTCATCATTGTCTTGGTCGTCTTTGTTGTCTTCATCGTTGTCTTGGTCATCTTGGTCGTCTTCATCGTTGTCTTAGTCGTTTTGGTCGTTTTCATCGTTGTCTTGGTCGTCTTGACCGTCTTGGTCGTCTTCGTCATCTTCATCGTTGTCTTGGGCATCGTTGTTTTGGTCGTCTTCATCGTTGTCTTAGGCGTCTTGGTCGTCTTGGTCGTTTTGGTTGTCTTCATCGTTGTCTTGGTCATCTTGGTCATCTTTATCGTTGTTTGGTCGTTTTGGTCGTCTTGGCCGTCTTGGTTGTCTTCATCGTTATCTTGGTCGTCTTTATCGTTGTCTTGGTCGTCTTCATCGTTGGCTTGGTCATCTTCATCGTTGTCTTGGTCATCTTCATCGTCGTCGTCGGTATTATCATTTCTCTTCAATTACCTCCGGGCCCCTTCGGGTCCTCTTGGTTGATATGAATATTTACCCAGAGCTGTCAGTCTTTATATTATTTTGTCGGTGGTTCACCCTCTGAGGACTACGACCTCGATTTCCTTGTTAGAGATAGTGGCGGCTCGTAGCGGAGAGTTTAGAATCAAATGTTCACATAGTCAAGATTCAAACCTTACCGAGTCGCGAGTCTATCTAACTACTGCAATAAACTCCTCCATGTTACTGTTAGATGGCGCCACGCATACAGTTGTCATTCTTTTTTAATGTAAACCAAAAAGTGGCAGAATTTCTAATAACAGAAACATACATTCAACAAAGAAAAGAATTTTTTTTTAAATAATGTTCCTTAGAGATTCAGTCTGACTTATATATAAATATATAAATCTCGATAGATAAATGTTACGAGAAAGCTTCTCTTAAAGCTTTTCTTAAAGTCTCAAAGACAAGTTGTTATTAGTCTCGAAATGTTCATATGAAACATGAGATATGAACAATTATCATTCCTAACAGAAATTGAGATAATCTCAAGCGGATTTGCAACAGGTCGTCGATATTTCGCGTTAACATGCTTAAAGGTCAAAATCAAATTTTGGAAAAATTTCTTTATTTGTCGTCACATACAGACTTTATGGAATAAATTCAGCGGAGTATTTGTCGTATAATTTGTCATATAATCACACATTATACTTCGTATCGTACTTGTCGGGACAATAATAATACGATCGTCTTGAGTACGCGTCTAACGAACAGTAATCTGCACCGGCAAGGATACAACGACATCACTGACTTTAAGCGTATAGTGCTAAAGTCTTACATACCATCTAACGACAGAGTATCATTTCAGTTACTGACAGCGAGAATACGATGCCAAAACACTTATCCCCTGATGTTATATCGGCTCTCAAGGGTGTACGTTTCATCGCTCAACACATCAAAGACGCGGACAAAGATAATGAGGTAAATGATATTTCAACACCGATTCCCATTTAAACAATGTTCTTATATAATCGTTGTAATTCGTTCTATCCATCAATGTTCTCAATATCTTCAGCTAGTCTTAGACCGAGAAGAGAGGTACACATACATGTCGTTTCCCGACTAGACAAGTTAAAAGGGAGCTCCCTCTAACGACCCTTTGACTGCACCGTACGTGGCAAGCACGTCGCTACAATGTAATGACGTCACAGCGACGTGCTTGCCACGTCTATGCGGACAGGGGAAGAAATCGCCAAAGTACGAAATAGAAAGATATCGATATCCCGATTAATTTACAATAAATTTGATCATAATAAACGCAAGAGATAAGTTTGCAATGAATCATTCAGAATCATCTATCTTCAATCGTCATCGACAGGGCTGTATCGGCAAAGAAACTTCAGAATATCTCTCGAAAAAGGATGCAATATACAAAAACGAACATACATAAAACTTTTAAGAAAAAGAAACAATAATATATATGATTCATAGCATATGTTTTTTCTTCTCACAAAATTAAATCACCTCGGTGTACGAGAATGCTAATCACCGCAGCTGCCGAGTCACTAAACATTCCATATAAAATACATTACTTCGTTTCTAGCACAGCTTCGGACGCGCGAGAACTGATCGAGATCGAAGAGGGATTGATATTCTGAATACTTTCCCATGATCTAACGGCTATATGTATATCTATATAATTCTCGTGTCGACGGGATTACTGAAAAAATATTAAGAAACTTCTTTATCTTATCACATTGAAAGCGCTTCGTTTATCGTTACAGGTCATCGAAGACTGGAAATTCGTGTCTATGATTCTGGACAGATTCTTTCTCTGGGTGTTCACGGTCGCGTGTTTCGGCGGCACGCTGGGCATCATTTGTCAGGCACCCAGCCTGTACGACAAGCGGGAACCCGTGGACCAACGACTCTCCGGTATATCACTGCGCAATTACATGTACCCGCCGAACGGAAGTTTCGAAGAAGAATACTAAGGCACAGACAAAGTTGACCCGTAGACTGCGTATGAGAGAGGAAGAGAGATAGAGAGAGAAACGCAAACGGACACGTTAGAGCGTACGTGTCACCATTAAAACTAACTACGTTTGGCACCTTCGCCCCGCTCGCCCCTGGGAAAATTCCCAGAAAATTCAGCCATATTTTTTAACGAAATAAAGATAGCCAAGCCCGAGAGAAGTGATAATTCTCGAGAAAAGGAGAAGAATGTATCGAATTACTCGTCACAACGAAAAACAAGTACACCGACATTGTCTCATCGAATAAACGCACTCGTTACATTGATATATATATCGTTCGGAACAAAAGTGAAGCAAATTGATCTGTCTGAGGTTTTCCTTTGAAAAACAAAACATCACTGTTCCTATTAATTACGTACCGCGAACCCTTTCATCGATTACATACTTCACTTTCGTTCTGAATAGAAATAGATCTCCATTATTATCAAATAATCCTACGTGTTCGTTCGATCAATGTAATGAACCATTGACATCATCATCATCTACGAGAACAGGCAAGAACTTTCCGGAGCGAATACCATCCGATAATCATCACATGTATGCATTTTCCACATGATACCTTCCAAAGCGAAATGTTAGACATTATGTACGCGAATTACAGATTAGACTATAGTTTAAGCGATTTATTAACCCTGATCAAGAGTCAAGCGGACTTCCCACGCAATGAACTTAGTTAAGACAACGGCACAGCGAGAGTAGAGAGACGTGCGTGTGAACAAGCAAAGCGTGAATGTGGTGGCATATGCAAGATCTTATGTCAAGGTTAATAAAAAGCTTACGCTACAAAAGATGAAGGTAACTTTATTTTCGTTTACATACGGACCAACCTCTTAAAATAGTGAAAATTGTATTAAAATACTTGCTTATCTCAGTCAGATCGGATTCGACTTTAGCACTAGATTCAGTCCGCCACGTGAGATCAACGATGAAATAACGAGCTGTTTTTGTCTCGGAATGCAGTGCAATGATATTAAAGTTACGAAAGAAACGAGCCTTCTTAGTCATCCTTTTGACTTTTTCGAGAGGGGACTATGAAGATAAGATCAATATCGGCGCGTCGTGTTCTGTACCGGTTTCAAGTTTCCACTTCTTGGTTTCAATGGAACGTCGATAAACGGATGAAGCGTTCTCACTGTGCGCTCAAAGAGCAGGCAACAAATTTCGGTAGAAAGTTCTCGTCACGATTGGTATATATCACACAATCCTTTATTCTAAATCAATGATCATTAATTCGGGTGATTCGCTTGTACTACTGATCGAGCTGGTCTGCGATTTCTTTGGCGACGAAATGCTACTAGTGGTTTGTTTCTTTGTACTTTGAGTCGGTATGTTGTCCTCGTCGTCATCTTCGCTATCCGATATCAGGTCGATCACAACTGCGCGTTTCTTCTCCTTTGGTGCGGGTGTGGTAGGATTAGTTTCGTCTAACAAAAAGAACATCACGTTAGTAGCGGCACAGGTGCGTTGTCTCACATGAAATGACAATTTCATCCGTAATTTGAAGCCCATTCAAATTTCTAAGAAATTAAGTCTAGACAAGTTTTGAGAATCTTCATCCAAAATAATCCGAGAGAACTTTTTACGGTAAAATTAAATTTTAATCTGAGTTTAAATTCTATTCAAAGATTAGGCTAAGGTTTGGTAGACGTTAATAAAGACCGATATTCATATATTTTTTACTTAAATATTTTCTTTTACCTAAATCTACTGTATCCACATCGATCTTATCGTCCCGCGAGTCGGCCGCAGCTTTCGCCTCATTCTTCTCCTTGTCCTTATCCTTCTCTTTCTTCAGCACTAGATTCTCCCACGAACCATCCTGTAGCAACTGAATCTCGTTCACGTCTGGCAATAACTTGTTCGAGTTCAGCACTTCTTGGAAGTACCCGTCGATCACGAGATTATCGTATAGCGCCGGCTTATCGCAGACTGGACAATTCCAGGTGGGCTTGCGCTCGTTCATTTGAAGGAACAATGAAGCGTCGAAACACTGAAGATGAGAGCACGTTGATGCGCGACACGGTGTGCACATCCTCATTTTTCCCAAAGGACAAGCTAACGACACTCTCAACGATGTGGTAGCGATCTCGCTATCCGCATCCTCGTTCAATTTTTCCTTAACTGCGGATTATAAAGAATTAATTTTCTTTCCGTGAGCAACTCCAGTGCAAATTTATCATCGTAGGATGACTACCTACTTAAGCCCCTGGTGTAATCCGAGTGTCTGGCGCCCCTATTTTTTAATCTATTAAGTAATTCCACGCTGGATAATTTTCGGACAAGGTATATTGCCACTGCAAATCGCCTGCCATAATCGGCCGACCATGAGACGCGTATTTCGTTGCCGACGGTAGGCGACAGCTTCACTAAAGGACTGATATTTACAGGTCGTGGTGGTCTCTTCGGCTCTACACCCGGTTTATTAGTAGGTATGGGATTCTAGAAAGAGAAAGAAAACACATAATACAATCATACAGTTATTGACATAATTTCAGATTGGTATTAAAGTACGATGTACAATTCAGGAAAAAAAGAACTCGCGAGTCTGACTATACTCACAGGCAATGGACATAATTTCCCATTGACCTTTACTGTGATATTTGGAGGGAAATAGTCCTCTTGTTCGCACGACGTCTCTTGCAAGCAGAATCGCATTTGTACCTGTTGGCAATGAGCAGCACAGTAAGACCTTCAGAAATACAATGATCGATATATAGATCCATTATATTTCGTCTTGACTGTCCACGCACTTGTGCTTTGATTCTTAAGAGAAAAAGAAAAGATTTACGTCAGTATTGCAAAGAACTTGGACATACCTGTACAATGTAATCCATTTTGCTACCGGCTCTACAGTCGCGCGAGCTGGCAATGTCTGTCGCTTGTCGCGGGGTTAGATGGAACATAAAAGTATTCTCTTGCAGTCTCAACGAACCCTGTGGCATTAAACTAGAGGGCTTCAATAATTCTCCTAACAAATCGAAAAATGGAAGTTTCTTCAATCTGACATCTGGATGAACTGGATATTGTGTGGTAGGTTGCATTTGTAGAGGCGACGGTAAGACTTTGGGTGGATATGGCGAATATGCATATCCTGCACTTGGTGCACGCTGAAAAAATACAAGATTCCAACGATGAATAAAACAAATCGATGGAATAAAACAACAATAAATAGATAAGCCTAAAATGTATCAAGATGCTTCTGCATACCTGTGCTGTTACATTAGTGTAACCGGATGATGGATATACTGGATTGGTCCTAGGTGCTTGAGGTATAGAAGCTTGATGAGCCGGAGTCAGTTCTTTTCCAGCAGAAACAGATGCCTGAGATTGTTGTTGTTGGCTCATCGCTTGCCTTCAAATTCACAATGTTTCACAAATAGCAATGTTTCTATCCCTAACATACGGTTGATATGGTAGATTAGATGACAGTATAGATACCTTGTCGAATAATAATTTCTGTTGTGCATTGTTTGATCTATTTGTGGCTCAGTAGAACTACCAGTTTGACCATACATTTGATGTGTTGCCATTTGATCTTGCCTATAAAAAATATATAACATATCCAGCTGCAATTAGAGCAACAAATAAACTTATAGCATTCAAAGGAGCAGGAAGCATAAAGGTACACCGTGAATAAGTCAATTTTACAGTAAAGGAAAGAAGCAGCTGTGTTAAATCATGAATTAAACCAATGACATGTTTGAATGAATGGGTTTTAACCCACCTGGGGTCGATTAAACTCAGCTTCTTGAGGCAAACATGCATGATAAGCTTTGTGATTGGCTAGTAGAGTCTTGTGAGACTCCATTAATCGACTCTGGATGGATTAAAATCCATTCACTCAAATATGCCATAAGAATAATACATGAATTAAGCAAAGTCTATATTTCAAAGTCACAAATTAGATAAATAATATTTGAAACCAATAAAAATTCAATGAGTCTCCAATATGTATAATAAAGATGTGAAATTATTATCACTGCAATGTATTATTGCAATAATAGCCCATAGATCAGATAAATAAAAATACATGTTGGTTGGATTCTAAAACTGCATTCAACTATCAGGCGACCGGGAGGATCACAAAGAGGAATCACACAACTGATTATGTTTCGTTTCTAAAGAAAAATTTGATGTATCCATAGAACACAGAAGTTTCAAGTATTCTCAATCTATGGAAGGTGTATAAAATAGAAACCTAGGAGAGTACTTATCAGTACCGGTTGGAATAATCAGTAAAAAGCTATCTACTGATTACAACCTGAGAAATTACTCAGCTGCTTTCACGTCACTTACTGTATTGTCTTATAGAGTTCACGTATTTTTAGTCGAATTGCTGGATGTGACCTCAAGTGTAACAGCTCCAGTGCACGTGCTTGCAGCTCGTTCTTTCTACCAGACTTATTTCTACCAGCGAAACCAAGAAGCATCTGAAGCTCAGACACTCGAAAACTCAATATCATATTCTGCAATCAGAAACCGTTTGCTTGTATCCTATCGCTATTATTTGAATCAACAATCACGATACATCGTGCAACAAGAGAAGTACAACGTATCAGAGCTCAGTCAGTGCTGCTTCTGGCTAAGCTTCCCCGATTGTATCTATATTTTTCTATTTGAAAGAATCTCCATATAAGAGAGGCAGCCCATAGTGACACGCGTGTAATTTGGCTCCTTATTTGGAGGAAAGAGCGCCGAACGACTGAGAGTCGTAATGAGAAGTGTCACAACGTGGCAGCATATGTAATTTTCTTGTTTCTTTTTTCTTTTTTCTTTTTCCTCACGACGGGAGTCACCGAACATGTGCTGGTCGTGCGACAAGGAAACGAAATCGAAAAAGTGACAATCTATCCCGCCAGGCCGATCGCGAGGGCGCAACAACGACGAAGAAGCGGAAATCACGTCGAGGGCAGGGTCGTCGGAATATAAAGTATCAGTGAAATGTGAGGTTACCCGCAGATCTTTCCGTACAAGCACATCACGCAAGCACAGTCCGTCGTTCGCATTCTCAGGACCGTGGAAGAGTCCTTCGTCTAACGATCAGTGTTCGTGCGCTGCGGCTTGTCCGCGCGATCCCAATAGTGCTCGGTACGACCGTGCTTTGACGTTGCGTAGTCGCGAGACGTAGCGTAACGCGCGGCAGCGCGACACGAAGAGCGCAAACCAACACGGCAGACACGACTGAGCCCGCACACGTCGCGTGAAGAATATCACGCGAGAAGCTGCCGCGAAGGGTCAAAATACACAGGATGGTACGATGCAGCTGCGTAGAGGACGAGACGAGAACTGATCTCTCGCGGAAGCACGATACAATTTCACCGACGCTCCGACCACCCGCCGATCGAGCCCGGAAATCGCGGCGCGGCGCGGCGCGGCGCAGCGCGAGACGGCGCGACGCGACGCGACGCGACGCGACGCGAAGCGAAGCGAAGCGAGGCGAAGCGACGCGACGCAACGCCACAACGCGATGCGACACGGATTCGCCGAGCGAGGAACCTCCGCGCGGCGCGGCGCGACGCTGTTCTCCCGTGTGCTGCTCGTCGCAGTGTAGTTTGTATCACGCGCACCAACTCACCTCCAGTTCCTCGTTCTCCGCCATCTTCTTCGACGACTTTTTTCCCGCTGCCGTTTTGCCGACGTTATTTCGAAACTTGCGACTTGAAAATACGCGCGGATCACGCTGTGTCGTTACACCTCGGCCGACCTTTTTCTCGCACTTCGTACCGGCCGTTTGTCTCTTATGCTATCCTCGTCTCTCTTCGTTTCTTTATGTGTACATATGTATTTTTATATACATATATGTTACATATATTATGAATGTGCGTACATATATATTCATTTATGTGTATAGAGGAGCGTTTATATACATACATACGTATACATATACACGCTCTTCTCGTTCGAATCTCTCGCGTACGAATATTGTTTTTTTTTTTCTTTTCTTTTCTTTTTCGTTTCCCGCGAGAAAATCACAGCCACGGGGCGCGAAGAACCACCGGGGTGTTCCTCGCCGGACGATCACTCTAGCCGACGATTTACCTCGTGGAAACGCCGGGACGCTTGGAAAAATCGGCGCGCGCGAGACTCTCGTTGACTGTCGACATCTCACACCTAGCTATTCGAAATGCGAAAAGCAAGCGTTTTCCCAAGATGGCGCCGCGCGAACGAGAGAATACGGTGAAACGAGCGACCAAGCTCGCCGCGTGCGACGTTCACGAGCGATACTGCATCGGTGCGACAACACGACGTTTTGTTCGCGCGGACCATGCGCGTCGAAGCGATTCTCGCAGGGATCTGCAGCGCGATCAACCGCCGCTATCCCTCCGCGATTTAGGTTAGGTTAGGTTAGGTCTCGTGCGCGACCAAAATGACGACGATTAGGTTACTTTCCGTTCGACGATCGGAGCGCGTTCGTGGAACAGCAGTTTCAAAGATCGCATCGACCAATGTCTAGCCACTTGACAGAAGACTATCTCTTTTCTTTTAGAATTTAGAAACGAGACACGCGTTACCTCGACTTGACCCGCAACTTACTTTTTGAGGTTATCTAATTTCCTCTTTTTCGTTCTACATGCTTGACTCATTATCGCCTACGCCTAATTTATTCGCTAGGACACTTCGATCTTCTTGATCCTCGAGCTTACAGATGAAGCGAAAGTGAGAAATCCACGGATTAACGTTTGAAATTATTTAGCAAAGACGGGAATCCACTCTCCCGGGACGCGCAAATATGTCAGTCGGGAAATTAGAGGGACTGTAACAGCTAGATACGTGTGATTTAAAAACTACGCTAGAGGGAGCAGTCACCGAGTACTACAAAATTCCAAAATCTAATAAGATGCGAATCTGTCGTGGATCTACAAAGACGCGTCATCGGAAGCAATAATCAATAGCTCTGTTTTTTTATCGCTGAACTAATGTACACTGTCAGGGAACATAAAAGGAAATAGATATACATCAGGGAGTTAGTGAAAGGGAGAGGGAAGGAAAATAAAGCCAGCGGCACACGGTGCTTGTTTTCGTACTGGATTGCTTGCTGCATGAAAATATTGCGTTCTGATTGGTACATTTCCGAAGATGGATGGAAATGCACCAATCAGAACGCAGTATTTTCATCCAGCAAGCAATCCAGCACGAAAACAAGTACCGTGTGCCGCTGGCTTAAGTGCAAGTAAAGCCAGCGGCACACGATGCTTGTTTTCGTGCTGGATTGCTTGCTAGATGAAAATGTTGCGTTTTGATTGGTACATTTCCGAAGATGGATGGAATTGCACCAATCAGAATGCAGTATTTTCATCCAGCAAGCAATCCAGCACGAAAACAAGCACCGTGTGCCGCTGGCTTTAGTGCAGCCAGTTCAGCAATAAAAAACAAACCTATTGATAAGCTCCGTCACGCATCGACGCGATTCTTCGAGAGATGAAGCTAATTTCGCGATAGAGGAAGATACGTAAATCCGCTTCACTTCAAAATTTCACGAATCATCTTCGAATACTGCGACAGCCGTTTCATTGACCGCACGTCATCTCGACACGTCATCTTGCGCATCCAATGAGATAGCTCTTCGTTCAGCAAGTCAGTCAAATAGAAAGCGCCCGCAGATTATAAAACAGATGAAAAGCTGTAATCATAAAGAACGTCTAACATTGCGCAGATATATTGCGGAAGCGCGTCGAGAATGCCTTCTAGAAAAATCGCCGACAGCGGTATTTGTATCTGTAGGAGCAGATTTGCCGTCGGGGCAACGATCGCAATGTAGATCCTCCCAAACGATTTTCACACGCACACGAAGCTGCGGGAACCAATCGCCGGCCGTTACGGGCTCCTCATTAGCGGGCAAGTGGAGGGCTGATTGGCTGCCGCGCGTGAGTCACCCGTAATCCCGTGGCGTTATCTCCTGCGTGTCTCTGCCAATCTCGACAGGTTCGTGCAGGTTTCGAGAGACTCTCGTATACATCATGCGTATCTAGACAATTTAAAAACATGGCTACCATGTGAAGATAAATTGGTTGGTTTGCACGCTGTAAACAAGTTTGTATTTAGTTTGTCAGGCTAGTTTTGTTTTGTGTACGTGACCGCGCGAGTTGCCGAGCGACAGGAGCTTTCCTGAGATGCTGGTGCTGGACCAAGTAGCAGTTGAGGAGCCCAAGTAGCTGTCGGGAGTGAAAGTCGCGCGAACTCGTAGCTCAAATCAATCCTGTGTTTCCTGCGGACTACTTCGACGTCCCCCGTTCTCTTCGCGGATTATCGGGAGGAGTCGTCGTGCCGTCACGAGCTGCGGATGTAAAAACGGTAATAACATACGCTCGCGGTATCGGTGGTGAATTAGCGACACCGTTAGTCTCTTAGTTAAGCCTGAAAGCGTGCGTGACCTGTGCGTTTGTCTTACAGATCCGACTGAGAAGATTCTAGAAGGGACGGATGCGATAACTTGTATATGCCTGTCGTTTGCAATAGTACAATTATTTAAACAACATCCATGGATACCGCAGACTATGACACCATTGTGCGTCACCCGAGAACCGTAATCCATCTCGATGTTGATTGCTTCTATGCCCAAGTGGAGATGCTCAGGCATCCGGAATTTGAGGGAAAGCCCTTGGGCGTGCAACAGAAGAACATAGTGGTCACCAGCAATTACCTGGCCAGGGAGTACGGTGTAAAGAAATGTATGCAGGTGCAGGAGGCTTTACGTCTGTGTCCAGGACTGGTCCTAGTGAATGGAGAGGATCTGACAAATTATCGTCATTATTCCACTAAAATATCAGATATTTTGCACCAATTCACACCACTGGTGGAGAGACTAGGCTTTGACGATAATTTCCTCGATGTGTCATTAGTGGTGGAAAAACATCTCAAGCCTCAGAATGATTCAGAGCTCGACATGAGCGGCTCTAGCATGGACGAGATACTAAAGGAATCGGTTAGTAAGATATTTGGCCCTTCAGAGGAGGAATGTCCATGTGGGTGTCACGTACGCCTGATAATCGCCTCCAAGTTAGCAGCTGAGATAAGAAATCGCATCTTCCAAGAGCTGCATCTCACATGCAGTGTTGGAATAGCGCACAACAAGCTGCTGGCTAAACTGGCTGGATCTCTGAACAAACCGAATCAGCAGACACTCATCTTCCCATGCAGTGGTCCGATGTTGCTCTCCGCAATGGGCTCTATCTCTAAGATACCTGGTGTCGGGCAAAAGACTATGGAATTGCTGCTGTCGAATAACATCAGGACGGTAGACGATTTGCGTAGAATACCGCTGCAGAATCTTGAGCTGAAGATTGGCGTCGACTTGGCGAGAAAGTTGAAGGACAACGCGGAGGGTATCGACGAAACAGCGGTAAAACCGTCCGGCAAGAAGCAGTCTATCGGCCTGGAAGATGGATTCAAGAGCGTGTCGCTAGTAGCCGAGGTGGAGTCGCGATTGGGCGGGTTACTGAGGAGATTGACGGAAATGGCAATGGAGGACGGCAGAATCCCCGTCGGTATGAAGGTGACCGTGAGAAAGCACGACCTGAATAAGCCCACTTCCGGCAAAAGAGAGAGCAGACAATGCGCGTTGCCGAAGCATCTCTTACCGTCCACGAAAAACGGTGTGTACGATCACTGCAAGATGCTAGCGCTCGCCATGAAACTGTTCCATCGCGCGGTTGACGTCTCGAAGCCGTTCCACTTGACACTGCTTGGAGTCGCGTTTACCAAGTTCGAGGAACAGTCCTTCGGCAAGAGCAGCATCACATCTTTCCTGCGCAAGCAAGTTGCCGTCCAGTCCGTTCTGGACATTACTTCCGAAGAGGGTATCTCGGACGTGAGCCTGGGGTCGCCGATGAGTATTAACCAGGACAGCAACGACGGCTCGGATCAGTCCCAGTCGGCAATGAACGCGATGAACACCTCTGGGCCCTCGAGTCTCTCGTGCTCGCCAATCTCGAAATCTCAGTGCATGGCGAGCCAAAACGCGGAGGACGAGCTGCAGAACGAGGTGGAGCCGTTGCAGAAGAAGACTAAGCTAGAAGTGTGGCTGAGCGGTCGCCGAGAGTCGCCGAGCAACGAAATGAGATCCGACCTTGTGTTGGGATCCACGTCGCCCATGCAGTGGTCGCCCACGGTGGACGCCACGGTCAAGTCCCTGCCCATCGAGAGGAGAGAAGTCACGCGTTCCTGGCCCACCACCAGCAAACCAAAACCAAACAATATACTTAAATACTTCATAGCTAATAAGTGACCGAGCTCTATAGTCTAGTATCGAATATCGTCGCTTTTTTACATGTATACGCTTCAACCGACAACATTGAATGCCAGCAGCCGTGTGTGATGCGAGGAATAATTATTAACTGCACGTTAATCTTGAGACGAGACGAGAAAGAAAGAGAGAGAGAGAGAGAGAGAGAAAGAAAGAAAGAAAGAGAGCGAAGTATCGACGTACGGTTAAAAATTATTCAGTACGTCTATTAGTTGTTCACATCTCATGTCACGCGAGAGAGTTCAATTAACGCCTCGGCCAAAGTGCATTTGCAGATTTTACACGACAAACGACATCAACATTACATATACATATAGTTATGTGTTCAGTTGCATTTATTACCTATGTGCATCGTCCTACTTGCATAAACATCAGGGACGTTTTTCAGCTAGAACGTAGTGTGATAAGATCACATTTAAGTCTTTACAGTAATTCGCGTTCCTTTGTATTACTTTCGCCGCAAGTAGGGTGCGAAGACTCTCTGCGTATTTGCTGTTACGTGCAATTGCAGTTTTCACATACGCGCGTAATAGTGAATTCTCTTGTTCGTTTACATCGATACACGTATTTAGGGCAGATCCATTTTTCCATCAAACAAATTTATACCACGAAGGGAACATTTTTACCTGAGACATACCATGAGAAGTTTAGTTACGAAAAAGTGTATTAAAAATAAGGAAGGAAAACAGGGTGCACCCGGGATCTAACGAGGGAAATGAGGTTCCTCTTTCTTTATTTTTTTTTTTTTTTATCGTGGAACTGACGGTGTCCCAAGTATTTTATGTGTAACTAATTCATATTATTTCAAATTAATTTCTTAATGTATTTTCTCTTACTCATATTCTAATGTAATTATCGCTGAAATTTGTTCAACGATAAAGTCGTTAATGGTCAATTTGAGATTTGAGAAACTCGGACAAGTTTTGTTAATTATCTACACAAGACGGTGCCGATAAACTCCGAAGCACCGAAAAAAAAAAAAAGAGAATAGTTCGTTGCTGTCTATAATGATATCCGAGAAAATAGCCTGCGGCAACGTTTTTATGCGAAACGAGGCGCTGACATTTGATGTTGTGTATGACTCGCGATTTTGGAAAAATAATCATATAATTTAACGTTTCCGCTCCCCGAAAGAAAGAATTCTATTTTTAGTACTGTGTTGAATGTTATCTTATAATAGGAGATCATAACCGAGCTGCGTCTTCGACGAGTAGAATTTTCGATATCGAGCGAAGGCGTGATGAAGTCGTCTCCTCGCGGTTGCGGATTGTTGAGCGTTTTTTCTCCACACGCGTTTTCACGGTATCGAGCACCCACTCCGCGAAATCACGTCGGTTCCGATCCCCGCTCTTGCGATACATCTCTACCTTGAGGAGGAGAGCACGGGAAGAGAGGCGGACTCTCTTTTGCTTCAGAGGTACAGATGTATGTGCGTCGAGTATATATTTCGGCGAGACACAACGCTAGGAACAAATACTCGGTTATTCCCGTCAGGGCCACTGGCGCGGAGCTCCATTCAGATGAAGAGTAAATGAGTAATTATATATAGTATATATAAACGTGTATATTATATTGTGTAATTATCTCTGAGGAATGTACTAGACAATCATAAAGTTTTAATGCCGCTTCAGTATGGTACACGGTGATTGTCATATACACATATATAATACACATACACACACGCGATAGTTAAATATATATAGATATATATCTCGAGATACAGATTAGCACATACACACACCACACACACACACACACATGCACACGCCAGAAACGCCGATCCATTACTGAGCGTGCGACACCGGACGTTCAACGACGAAAAGAGCCGCAATTTTACTTTTTGCAGATACTTAAGGAACACACGTGTTGCATGCGGGTGAAAGCAAAGTCCGCAGGTGATAAACCGAAACAATGTAGCTTTTGTATTTACACAAGACGGGATATTCATTAAGATTGCTTACATTCTTTAAGGGCGCGACGGGGGAGGAGGGGAAGAACGAGCGTGAGAGATAAGAAGGAAAGGGAGAGAGTACGGAAGAAGGAGAGACAAGCGATGCGAAGAGAGATGCAATGATATGCGTAATAGAGATTACTTATTACTACCGAGCTTTTCTATTTTTATTTATTTACAACATAGGCGAGAAACGGTACTGTGTCTTGATTTTAAACCTCTGGTTGTGAATACATGCATATTTTATACGGACTTGTTCGCGGGGGAAATGCGCGTTGCGGAACACACGCTCGACGACGACGACGTCGCCGTCGTCGTCGTTGTCGAGGTTGCGCTTGAACGCGGGACTTCGCGCTTGGAATAATAACACGTCGAATGGTCGTTGTAGTATCGCTGCTAGGTCACAACGCCACTCCGACCGTGTTAGATGCGACGTTGAAGGCGACTGGTTTGACTTTGATTTGTTTTGAGAGTGACAACGCGATTCTGCGCGGCTCGCATTGCCTCCGATTCGTCTCAATAAAGAAACTTCGAGTTGAACACGCCGCTGTGTCTCCGTCCACCCCGCCATGTGACCTTCCTCCGAATTTCCTCCTTGTGACTACGAAATCGTCATGCGATTTTCCGTTTCTTCTTTTCTTTTTTTAATTCTGAGGAATGAGGTGGTATGATCGTGCGGCAAAATGAGCTAACAGGCACTCGGTGTGAAACTGGTCGACAGGAAAGGAAATCGGAAATATAATATTTGTAATATTCGTACACTTGTCGCTAATTCGCTTGAAAACACGGTTGGTAGGTATCCCGTTAATTTTTCGATGGGATTTCCAATTAGTTCTCTCGCCGACTGCCAATCGGTCTCGTTGAGTGATCTGCTTTAAAATCGCCGCTCATAAAGTACACACAAATGCCGAAAACGGACACGCGTTATCGAGCCATATATCCGGCGAATATATCAGCCGAGGGACGCAAACTGCTGCGAGGTTGCCGTAAATTTTTGTAAATACCCGCCGTGTCGCATATCGTTTACCGTGAAATCAAATAACCGTGCGAGCGAAACGGCCACTGCGAAACAAAATTACCGCGCGATAATTTCGTGCTTCCGTCGTTTCGCGATATCAAGTAATAGCGAGTTCCCATTATATCGCAATTTTCACTACGATATCTCTTTCATATTCTCGTTTTAGTCTCATCTCATGTATTTTGTACAAATTAACATGACGTCCATTTTTTTACGTTATGTACGCGACCACTTTGAGTGTTCGTATCGAGCCGAATCGATCCAGAAGACTCGTTGAAGAAGAAATTTAATTTGCGTGTTATATTAATCGTATCAAACGTTTAATACTCGCCAATGGACATTGGTTCTTCCTCTCTCAGGGTATGCCGGAGTCCACGTTTTAATAGCACGTCCTTCTACAACTTGATAGTAACCATCCGGTCGTATATTTCCGCAGGTACCGACATATCACCCTCCACGTATCGCATCGTACGTGAGATACATCGGAGACAGTACATTTTCTTTTCACGGCTAGTATCTGACCTAAATTTAAATACCCAGCATTTACCTAATTGTCTTCGTAGACCGCATTCGTGGCTATATAAAGGTTGACGTCGGAGGAACCACCGTTGAATCGACGTCAACTTCCGAATTCGGGACGAAGTAGAAGGTTTTGTTCTCCGATTGATTTCGTTATTTTGCTAAAAATGTTGTCAGTATTCTATATCTTGAGCGTAATTGCAATACGCGGATTATCAGGTAAAAGTGTTAAATTTGTTAAATATTTGATGCTTCTTCCGTATTATATCTTCAATTTTATTCGTATTGTTAAATTTAAAGTAGTCTTCGATGAGATGTTATTTTGTGATTTGTTATTAAATATTTACAGGAAATGTAGACTCTTCTCGCGGCATCATTGCTAAGTTACTAATAAACTTCGAGTTTTGTGATGAGAAAAATTCTACGTATTTTGTATATAAGCGATAGATTGTTGTACAGTCTTTTTATGCGAAATGTGTTTGTATAATCGCACAGCCGAGACGCCCGATCAGAATCCGAAGATCGTAGGCGGCAGCGCCGCCAGTGAAGGACAGTTCCCTTATCAAGTGTCTCTTCGTTATCAGGATCATCATTTCTGCGGCGGTTCCGTTGTAAACAACCGATGGATCCTTACAGCTGCTCATTGCCTATCAGGGTACATGTTTCTCCGTAATACGAATATTACCTTAAACTTTGTCAAAACCAAGTGAACATTTCGAAGAGTCAGGCAGAAGAAGAAGAAGAATGTTGGGAAACACCAGACAGATCTTTTCCATCTTAGATTCTATCTTGCGATTCAAGTTTGAGCGATCAGAACACAGAGTAGACGAAATTGAGCGCATTACACTTGACAGCTTCTTGTATATAACGTCTTCGTGATCTGCATTTAACAGTCTGAACGACAAAAACATCACCGTCGTAGTGGGCTCGACCACCTTGGACAAGGGTGGCGACAAGTATACCTCGACGAAGAAAGTAATGCACCCCGGTTATAGTCCTACGCTCATCTGGAACGACATCGGGCTGATTCAAGTCGACAAGGATATTGTTTTCGGCGACAATGTACAGCCGATTGCTCTGTCCACGCACAACTTCAACAAATCCAATTATCCGGCGACGCTGTCCGGTTGGGGCACGACCAATGTAAGCACCTACGATTAATTTACAGAGCCCGTTGATCATTCTCTATCAACATGTGATATAAGAGAGAACTTTAACTCTTTAAAAAGGAAGGAAACCGTGTGACTATCTTCAATTGTTACTTATTTAACGCGAATCGTTGCAGTATCCGGGCGATGCACCGAACGAACTGCAGCATATCGAGCTGATGGTGATCGATCAGAAGGAATGCTTGAACGCCAGCTTTCGCGTCACCAGCAACAATATCTGCACGCTCAACAAGAAAGGCGAAGGAGCGTGTCACGTGAGTATACTCAGCGCTTAATCGCGCGTTCATAAGATACTTCTATCCGCCGTGTGAAGTTACTTAATTTGTCCGGAGTTCAGGTACTGAAAATCGCTTGAGAAGGAGAGATGGATCATCATGTTTTTGCACGAAGTCGTTCGCATATCCTGAATAAAATGTTCACCTCGAGAATGTAATGCTTTATCCGAATGTGTGTACGCAGGGTGACTCCGGCGGTCCTCTGGTGGCCGATGGCGTGCAGATCGGAGTAGTGTCCTGGGGAATACCCTGCGCCAAAGGACGCCCGGACGTATTCACGCGACCCTCCGCTTATATAAATTGGATCAACAAATACATCAAGTAGGCGAGCTATTAATAAGGAATTATAGGATTTCCGCATCGACGATGAATGTTCCTCACGCCGAGAACTGAGTTCTCATCAACCTCATACATACAGACAAACCGAACCGACCGACTACACAATTTCACTGTCGTAAATTACTTTATTGGCGGTGAAAACGAGACTAGCGCTTCAGCATCGAGAGAATCGCAATTTTCCGAAAAACGCGCGTTGGTTGCCGAATAAAGAAGTTGATGGTAACCTTATTTCGTTTATTATACCAAAACGTACTTTTGCAATAAATGTTCACTGCTTTCAGCGAACTTTTGTATCCGAATGACACAGTTCCAAGCTCTCCCACGTGGATCTAGCATAAGAGTAGTCACCGTCCCTAGTAATTAATCCTCGCATTAAGGGAAACAGTGCGAATGCGCAAAAAAAAAGAGACATAAGGACGTGCCAGTTTAAATACGGCGCATGCTTTGTCGCGGCTCAAGCGACAGCTGGTAACGCGATCTACATTAGTTGGATATTTTACAATTGCGTGTAATTGGCATTAGCATAATTTCAACAACGACAGGCCTTAAGCCGCATCGTGGTAGACCTTCAGAACGGAGGTGAACGAAGTTTCAACGCTTTGCGTATGTGTATCCTGATCTTCGCTTGTAGGTTTGTAGGTTTAGCCAGCGCTGCGTCCGACAAATTAGTATAATCATTGATACGCGAGAAATATGAAAAAAAAGAAACCGAGATATTTGGAAAGACCGAGAAAAAAGAAAGGAAAAAAAAAACCACGACGACCAGCGCGGCCACGACGGGCAAGTCATGCGCCGTGAACCCGCCGGTTAACGATCGGCGAATTTAAGGAACTGGCACGAAATCTTGGCCGAAGATTTCGGTCAAGCTCCTAATGACCCACTTCGAGCGGCGCATGCTCGCGTTTCAAGCGCGCTTAAGGATAAGAACGTCGCAGCGCGTCATCACTGCCGCCGGGCGGCAGCTGGCGGTGGTTTTCGCGCGCGAAGAACAACGCGTCGAAGGAGAGAAGAGCGAGAAAGGCACGGCGCGACGAAGTCCCCCTGGGGTCGTCCTCGAAGATCCCAGCCAAGAATGCGGATCGTCGTGGTACTCCGTACACGTCGATGGAACTCCGTCCTCGATGGTCACCGATGCCGCTCTTTTCCTGGAGTCACCCGATGACCCGCTCGAGAAACGTCCACATCTTCCGTCCTCGAGATTCGAAAGAAGCCCGCTCGCCGTGGGATCTCTCTTGGAGGCTTGAAGAAGCTCTAGGCAAGTGGCTCCGATCCTGAACATCCGTCAGAGAGCTCGGCCGTTGTTGCCCGTGATCAACCAACACCCGCAATTGATCAAACGCATTTTATCAGCAAATTTTATCAACACGTCTTCAAGATTATAATCTCCCGGCTCGAAGGACGACGAGAGGGGTCAACGTTCACACGTATCGTGGTCGACCTGAATCGCGCGCCGCGGTGCCGTCGCGTCGTCCCGGTCGAGCCGGTCAAATCGCGTGTCGTGTCGCGGCGGCGCGCCGCGTGACCCAAATTGCGCGACACGCGCGTGCGCGCGACTCTCGTTCCCGAGGGTGTGTTTTCATCCCCGCTTCGCTCTGCGCGGACAAGTAACGCACACATTCGCTTTCTTTCATTATCTCTCCCCGTCATCGTCGTCGTCGTCGTTGTTAACCGAATCATCGTGGTCGCCGCCTCGCAGTACGAACGACGACAGCTGGTGCTGTGACACCTGCTGCAACCGGAGAGATCGATATCCTCGTCCTTGTGCCGTCCTGAGGCGGGTAACAAAGAGGATCCACGAGGCAATCGTTTTCTCGCGATCATGTCTTGGACGGCACAACGACGACTCCTGTGAGAGACCTCGAGTTTGTGATGTGTGGCGCCGTGAACACGAGCTCGACGTTCTCAGGAGGACGTACTCACATTCAGTGAGTATCCTCGCGTAACTTCGCTCTGTTTCGTCGACGGACTCGCGGGAACTCGTCGGGTCGTCGTTGTGCCACGACCGAGCGATCAAGCAGCCGCCCGTTGGTTGGTTGGTCGCTTCTGCATCGTGACCCTCCGTGGTCGAGTTCGGAAAGCTCGTGCTGAGAGACGATCGTGCGGAATTTGTATGTGTGTGTGTGTGTGTGTGTGTGTGATTTGTGTCCGGGTGTGTGACAGATGCGCGCGAGGAAGCTGCGACTGCGAGGATCTCGACGAAGTCGTCGCGGGAGAATATTCCCCGGAGTTTGTGCGCCGAGTGAGCAAACACGGTAGTGAGACGAGGAAGCCGCAGAGAGTCGAAGGGGTTCGATCCACCCTCGAGGTTCGGTCGGGCCCCCTCGTCTCGTCGGGAGCACGGAAGCGTAATCAGTCGGCGATAAAGCACGCTGCAATCTTATCTTGGCAGGCGTGCTTCGAAAAACAAAAAAAAGAAATATTCCGCCGGAGAGTCGCGCCTCCGCGTTGTCGTCGCTAAACTCGCGTATTTGCGGACAAGGTGCGGGAGGTGCGTCAGGTGTGTCGCTCGTGAGAACGTTCGTACTCGCATTGTTTACCGGCTCTCCGTCACAAGCCGCAAGAGGTTAACGCACCGAGACGAACGTGTCACCGCGGGCGCCAGATAGAGGCTCTCTCTCGTGAAGCTCTGATACCGCGTTGATACGGTTTCCCGGTATACGACGACGCGCGTGGCAGCGCTTCTTCTATTCGTCGTGTCTTCTGTGTTTACGTTTACACCCACCGCCTGTTTACGTGCCTCTCTCGCACGTGAGCGCGCGCGCGCGTACGTTCGTCGTGCCGTACGCGGCGGTATCGACCTCTCTCGCACAGGTGTGGAGAGAGACCCCGCGAGAGAGAGAGAGAGAGAGAGAGAGAGAGAAAGAGAGAGAAAGAGAGAGAGAGAGAGAGAGAGAGAGATTCTTATTATGAAATAACAAACGTGCGGCTGGACACGCGCAAAGTCCGCGAGTCGCGAAAGCTTCCACGCGAGGATCCACGCGCGTGCGGTTTCATTAGCGGCCTGACGAGCTGATACGGAACGATAAGCGGGCAATTAAGATACCCGGGGGCTCCTCGCGTAACAATTTATGGAAGCGCTCCGAGGTTACACGTTATATATAGTTAGAGAACACGGATAGCGCCGGGCGATTAATCGACGCGGACAATGTATCTGTGCAATTAACGCGGCAATTGATTTCGGACGCGTAAAGAGAGGAAAGTAAAATATTTCAAAATTCTTTCGCCCATAATCTCGCATTTCTCACATTTTCTCACGTGTGTTTCCACGCGATATCGCGAAGCTGTATATTTCATCGGCAGCATTGTGATATTGCGTGCATGCGTGTCAATCGAGCGATAAATAGAGAAGATTGGATCCCTCTTCTCGCGAGACAAATTTTGACACGGAGATTCCTGTCCAGGTGACCGCCGCGGGTATTGGAAAATCGAGGGATTGTTACATCTTCTACCTGGTTCGCGGATGTAGCGGAACAAACGGAGCAAATGAGCGGGAATATGATTGTGTAAAATCATTCGTAGCTGATAACAGGTTCGGATTCGTGCTGCTGGAAATAATCGAGGACCTGCTTTTATCAAAGGAAGCTTCATGAGCTGCTGCCCTTTTATGTGAGTCCCAATCTTACATTTATTTTCGTACCTTTCATTCGCAACATCTTTGTAAACATGGCTTGTTTATTATCAAATTTATATATATATATATATATATTATATAATATATATATATATATATACACATACAGGGTGTCCCATTTTAAAGGATTCACTTAAATATCTCAGAAACGCTGCGTTAAATCGAAAAACGTTTCAGACAAAAGTTGTATGGTTTCAAGGGGGACATAAAACCACACTATATCATTTTGTTTACAACTGGCGCCACTTTCGAGATATTCACTGATCATTACTTTTCTTAAATGGAAACCCCAATTTTTTATTATATCATTTTTTTCTACCAATTAAAATTAATTGGTAGAAAAATTAATTGTTTAATTAATTGGTTAATTAAAATTAACTGGTAGAAACATCAATTAATTAATTTTAACAACTTTTGTTCGGAAACATTTCTTTATTTGCCTAATATTTTTTGGGATGTTTAAGGAAAATTTGGTAACTTTTTCAATATTTAACTTATGATATCTCGCTGTTTGTCGGAAAAAAAAAATAGTATTAAACTTTTTTGCTCTATTTGGTTTCAAGAATATATCGTTACAATATGCCCTAACTTTTGTTAATTTATCGATCTTTGAAAATCAATCAAATAATCAAATTAACAATCATCAGATTAATTATAAAAAGGAAAAAAATATATATATATATATATTGATTTACGTTTATACCGTCTTGCTTCTATTTCACAAACGACTTTACGCTAATTAACAATCTGCCCTGACGTTGACTGCAGCGGAGTATCTGTTTGCACACGATTCTACATGTACACACAGGCTGATTACAAGTTGAGCGCAAACACGCTGGTCGCTGCACCTTTCGGGACGACTGCGCAGTAGAGAATTCGCGGGTCTGCACGGCCGTACATACGCGTATTTCTTTATGCCGTTGCTTTTGCATTCACGGTGCGTGGCCCGCCTGTCTTTCTTTCTCTTTCTCTTTCTCTCGCGTTCTCCCCGCCACGATTCAGTCCCGTGCAGCTGGCGCCGCGGCATCGCGACTAATTCTCAGGGACGTATGTCGATCGACGAGTCTACAGCCGAAAATGTCATCAAATATAAACCAAATTCCAAATGAAACGAAGATGTCGAAATCGAGCGTCGCGAAACTCTCCACGACACCAATCCAATGTAAATCCGAGACAAAAAGTCATGACGAGACCGGAATAATTCGCGATGGTTCGCACAGAAAGTATATTATTTATTCCATTATTACTGTTATTGTTATTCATACAAAAAAAATACTATTTTACAAATCCAATTGAAGTAGCTACTTATGATTGTGGTCAGATGTTTAATTGAGCGAAACTATTTTTTTTCTTTTCTTCATTCAGTTTTCTTCGTGTGGACTTTATGATTATACACAATTATATATGTTGCATGTGGTTCACATATCAATATATTCATCGTATATACCAATTATTATATAAAATTACATATAACATACACAATTATATATATTTTTTATATAATTATGTCTTTTATAATCTTTTTTATAATTCTTTTTATATAACTTTTTTATAATCTTTTTTATAATCTTTTCATAATTCTTTTTTATAATCCTTTTTATTGAATTACGACTTCTATAATCTTTTCGCTCGGGTAGGTCTGCAGAATCCACGTGCGTAAAGACTCAGGCAGGGAGGGTGCCCCGCGAGAAATTCCATTCGGTCGCACGAGACCCACGCGCGCTACACCACTGTGTTTCGGCGCCGGCCGCTGCTACAGCCGCAGGCGATGAACGTGCGCGCAGCCACGCGCAGCGGCTCAGCTGTATGTACGTGAACGCGAGTCGCGCTGTCCGCCGCCGCGCTCCGCAGCTGATGCGGCCCGTCGCTGCCGCGTCGTCGTGGTGTTCCGTTTAGGAAAAAAGAGGAAAAAAAGAAGATGCGTCGCGTCGAAATTCGACCCCGTCGTCGTCGTCGACCCCGCGATCCTCGTTGACGCGCGTCACTCCCGTCGTCGTCCTCGTCGTGCTCCGTCGTCGATCTTGTGCTCCTCGTTCTCGTCGACATCTTCGGCCGCATGAAGCCGTCGTTGCCGGGGAAATCACAGGCACAGTGCACGCGAGCCGATGACGACGGACCGTCGCTAAATTAATCGGTAATGCGGAATTGGACACGGTGCGTGGGCTAATAGATCGCGCACTCTCGCACGCGTCCGAACAATGGACCGTGAGGAGGAGGAGGAGCGACGGTAGAACAAAGGGCGACACCGGACCGCGGCCGCCGGATCCGCTGGCGCACGGCTGTGCATTACTGTATGCATCCCGGCGCAGCTGCATTTATTTATACGCACCCGCTAGGAGAGATGCGCGCCTCTTAACGCTTCGCTTCCGACACGATCCCTCGGCGAGGATCGCGAGCTCCCTGTCCGCCGAGGTCGTTGATTCAGTCGCGCGGGGTTGGTCTATCGCAATTCGCTGCACGGCGTTACGTTTTCTTACACGGCTTGACAACAGCGAGCGGGGGTGACGCTCGAGACAGAGGGAGCGAGAGAGAAAGGGAAGGAGGGAGAGAGGGAGGGAAAGAGAGGGAGAGCGACGCGAGATGCACTTTGTGGTGTTTAGCTTCTTCGAGATTTCTGCGGAGCATCTCCGCAGATAGGACGACTGAAGTGCACGTCCGCGCGGATGATAAACGTGCGTTAAATAGATAAAGCGGCAGCCAGGATACAGCTATTATGGAGGCTTTGCGTCTGGCTATACAGTGAGTGTCCCTTTTACGGCGGATACACTCTCTTGAGTGTGTTTTGTTATGCATACGTGAAATGCATTAAAACGCACGCTTACGTGCGTGCGTGTCTTCTCATATTGGCCTTCTCATATAATATATATGTGTAACTATATTTGAATAAACCTCCGAGTGGAAAATTCAGATAAATAATCTCAGATATATTTAAAGGATCTCATTATCATATGCCATATACTCTTGAAATTTATAAATGTATTTGTATGTAAATAAAGAAGATGTAGATATATGTGTGATTCATATATACAAGTTCACATAAAACAAATAATGTATCTAGCTAGATGAATATGTTTATTTTTAATCTTACAATTTTTCTTTCCATACAAATCCATGTGTCTGTTATTTTTAATATTCTGTTGACTGGTTGATGTTGTCCCCTTGACTGACAAGTTTCTTCTTGTTTCAGGACGCGGCTCGGGGAGAGGATGGTCAGCATGAGTTCAATGCTCGTGGAGACAGTCAGCATAAATTATGAAGATTTCAATGAGAGTTTTCTAACATGTGGCACCTGTCTCTGTGTTTATGACGGTAGCGAGCATACACCTAAATTGTTACCATGTTCACATACGGTACATGTTCACATGCGCAGAATTAGTAAATATGCATGTCATACACTTGGTAAATCACATCTGTGCTTTGCGCATCCATTATTAATCTCGCATTTGTTCACACATTGTTCACAGGTATGTCTGCATTGCCTGACAAGAATTGCTGCGTCCCAAACACGGGAAACAGGAGCGTTCAGATGTCCTATTTGTAGAGAACTAATAACAATTCCCCGCGGGGGGGTATCCGCGCTGCCGCCGAGTTTTCTCGTGAACCAACTTCTGGACCTTATGTCGCGACAAAGACGAGAGGTGTGCTTAAACACAAAGCGTCGCTCGACGGTGATAAATTGTCGCTTGAATGACGCTTCCTAACATCGCTATTTCTCTTGGCCATTGCAGGTCATCCCAAAGTGTTCAGTTCATATAAATCAGGAATTATTGTTTTGCGAAACCTGCGACACGGTGTTTTGTACGGTATGTACGGGCGGGACTCACGCGGGCACATCGCCGGGATGCACAGAGCACACCATCATCCCATTTAGCATCGCGATCAAACGGATGTCCGAGATACTGCTTTACAAAGCCAATGAGTGTATATCCAAGGTGAAAATTAGTTTCTCTTTTTTAACGTGCCTGCAGACGCTGCTCAGTCGTTATTGAGTTAAGAGTTGCGCCGTTTAGTTAACACAGGCACAAGATTCCGTGAGCACAGAGCTGCAGCGCTTAGATGCCTCCACGGAGAGATGTTTGAACGCGGTGGACACGGAGTTCGCGGAGATCATCGCCAAAATAGAGAGACGTCGATCGGAGTTACAGGCCGCCGTGACCGCTGCCGCGCGTGACAAGAAGCACGTGCTCGAGGAGCAGCATTCCCTCATCGAGGCGGAGAAGAGCAAAGTGGAGAGAGAATGCGAAGGACTACAATATCAGGTAATAATAATAGGTTAATAAAAAAAGGGTAATAATAAAGGAAAACTGTAGATATACAGAGTGTACCCATTTTAAATAATCACCTGATCTCGTATCTCGAAAAAATGCATTATTCGAGGAAACATTTCAGAAAAAAAGTTATGTGGTTTTAAGGGGGTAATGAAATGGTAATCTTATTCTGAATTTGATTAGATTCTTGTCTGAGATATTTTTCGAATGATTCATTTCTTCAGAGATATTTTACGTGGGCATTTGAAACGGGTACACCCTGTGTATTTTTTTTCACGTGTATTACCTTTCACAACGGGATATCCGATATTTTTAAGGTCGAAGTCCGGAATATTACTCAACGTATTAACAGCCTGTCTGATCAGCTCGACGCGGCGACCGCCCTCAGCGAGCCCAAGGAGAATGCCTTTATCACATTCGAATTCAACCATAACGACGCTCTCTCGCAGTTAGAGCAAGCACTGAATAACTTAGGACGAGTACGTTCTAGTACAACATTGCCAGGTATTCTGAGGATTGACAGTACAAGATAGTACTCGCTTTAGATACTCGCTCATCCGTTTGTTTGATTGGTATTGCGCCGCTTACCGATTACGTGAGACAATAACGTTAAGGATTAAGTCATATCTAATCCGTCACTGTCGCTGTATTGAGTTATGACATCAGAATTCATGGGGGGTTGTGCAACGTCGACAGAGTCACCGATAAATATCACGTACAGCTCCAATACGAGTGATGGAATGTGGAAACGTGCTTCGTTTCGATTTGCTCTCATAATGATAATCCAATGCCGACTATGATGGATCAGATATCGTAAGAGCTGTCGCAATGCAACGTTGACTCTTCATCTTCTGTATGTTATACTAGGTCTATGTCGGGCCAGATTGAAAGATTTAGCGATAGTGAAGCTACAAGCGACCGTCACAGTCGAAACGGTAGATTATCACGGTCACCCACGGAACGTCGGCGGAGATCTTGTCGGCGCCGAGCTGACGCTCGCGGATAATATCCACACGGAGAACCAAAGCGCTCCCATCGAGACAGAGGTGAAGGATCTGGAGAATGGAACTTACGAGATTTATTTCCGCCCGCCTAGCGCGAACCGATACGTCTTAAAGGTGTCGGTGTTCGAACGTCCCATAAAGGACTATCCGTTGTTTTTCGACGCGACCGAACATAATGAACCGATCAAGGTATATGGGAGACGCGGTAACGGAAAGGATGAGTTCCATCAGCCAGTCTCTGTCGCGGTGGATGACGAAGGGATGATCTATATTTTGGATACCGGAAATTCTCGCATCAAGGTTCGTTCGCGACAATGCAGTACATATTCGATGGTTATCAATTATTTAAATCATTCGACGCACATTATGATATTCTTCTTATATCATATTTTAGAAAGAACTAAAGTAGTTCCATCTTCACAAAATATGTGTCCTCAATTTTACACGATGAAACAACTTTCTCTAATTCTTCAAAAATTTTGTTGCTTTGTTTCAGGTACTCAACTGTGATCTGGAGTTTCAAAGACACATCAACAATGAAGGCCTGGAAGGCCGCAGTTGTACGGGCATAGGTATTTCTCAGCAGGGCCTCGTAGTCGTTAACTGGCGAACGCGAACGATCACGGAGATGACTTCATTAGGTGACACAATCCGATCTTTTTCGCATAACGCGTTTCAAGTTAGTATTCTCGTCGCTTTTTAGGGAGTCAACGATAAAAGCAGTCGTTAATCGTGAGACATTGTCTTCTTTCAGGAACCGATAGATATTGCAGTGGACAAGAGTTACGGACACATACTCGTCGCTGACAATGGTCAAAGCTGTGTTTTTGTATTTGACTCAGATGGCAAGATACTATTTCAGGTTGATTAATATTCTTTTTTATTTACGTATACACCAAGTGTTCCCTTGTATCTTGCATAGAAATCCCTGGATTTCCTTCGAGACATGTGAACATGTTTATTTGAAGTATGTGACCTTCGTATAAAATAATCGCGTAACTTCGACAGGTCGGCAAGAGAGGCACATTCAAGCTGATCAGTTCCGTCACTGTTGGCCCGGACGGTGAGATCTTAGTTGCCGACAGTAGAATTCAGGTGTTTTCTGCGAAGGGAGATTTCTCCGAAGAAATATATCTCGAGGGAAAGGGTAAGTTTCCCCACACAAGAACAAGGATCGCATATTTAGCATCGAGTACGAAATTCACAGTCAAGATATGGACGTTAGTGTTCATATGTCCGATTTACGTGTACAACAGGAAAAGGCATTTACGGAGGAATAGCCGTAGACATGGATGGCAAAATACTCGGTACCCGCACGGACAAGGGTCGTAGCATAATACAGGTGTTGAAGCTAGGTGGAGGCAATATTTTAACCGAAATCGACTCTCACAGCTCGAAATTGCGACGTCCCGCAGGCATAGCCGTGCTGCCGGACAATCATCTGGTGGTGGTGGACCTGGGCAATGATTGTATAAAGAAATACAGGTACTGGTAAACAAACAAACAAGAAGTCATTCGTTTGAGTGTTCAAATTCGATCGCGAATGGGGAGAAAGTCCATTGCGAACATACCAAATGTGTCAACCTAATTTAGAATTATTTATTCAGGTTTTCTTTTGTGGAACTTTGTAGTTGTGTAACGTTACGTACTCTGTGACGAGTATAATGTCTATGTTTTTTATAAATTTTTATATATAGTTTATAAATTGCGATAAGAGGAATGTGGTGAGATAGTAACAACAAAGAGGAGACTTGAGTTCTCGTTCTGCGCAGCTTGTGTTGCTACATTACTATCGTATTACGCGGTTTACGCTTCGCCCTTATCTTCAAAATTTACTTCAACATGTTGTGTTCAACCTAACTTTCTCTCTCGTTCCTCGCGTAAATGCATTATGCGAATGTGCAAAAGTTTTACCCACGCGTAAAAAAACAGTCATTCGGAATGCTCAGTACTTACTGTACGTATACTTTGATACTTCATAACCGTTTAAGTCATCGCGCGATTAATGTTTGTTAATCGTTTGAAAATGCATGAAACGACTCTCTGTTGTCACTGACTAATAATAAATGCACCGCGAACAACGACTCGGTCTCTCTCCCGGTTTTATCGAAACTAGAACTCTGTATCCCTTGTTACTGAATCTGTTTGATTTTTATCAACACCCGAAAATCTGACCAAATGTTTTCGTCTCGCAAACACAGGCTTTGAAGATAAGATTGGAGACTGAAATCCGGACGAACAAATGTCCATCCGCCCGACGGAATATGGACGGGCTAATTAAAGAAATAGAATTAAAGGAATTCGTCTCTTGTCTTATCTCAAATAAAACTTTTTAATTAGCTCGATTCGATTGAGGTATATTGAGTCACTGTTCGCGGCTATGTAATGTTATTATATAGAAGTTGTACACACACACACATACACATACACACACACACACACACTCACTGCCACTTCCATGTTCGTTTACACTATTGTTACGATAGAGCACGGATCTTTGGATTATATAAAATCGGTCACATGTGAATGGATTCACCTGAAACACCAGAATCTTGAGATATCGTACGGACGTTTCATCAAATTCGAAACTTTTTATCTTATATTTTTTCACAGATTGCACTTGTTACATCAGTCCTGTTTCTATCTATTCTATCAGATTCGGTTATCAAGTTCGATTTGATATCTGTCGATTCAACCGGTGCATTTTTAAAGGCCTGGATTTTCCTCTTGCTCGTTTTTCGATTTTCGATCCGATACTTTCGCCGTCTCATTCCCCTTCATTCACAAATCTCGAGACACGGAACAACCCGCGAAAGGTTTTTCATTTTCCTGACAGACGTCAGAAATTTGGACTACTCGACTTTGGCACTACGTGATGTTTTTAATGAATTAAGCAAAGCGTAAATTATACGGTTAGTGTAAGATAACTAAGAAGATATTTACGTTAAGAATTGTACATATATTTTTTCAGTATTATCATAAATTTATAAAATTGGCAATACATGGTTCTTTTGTACGAGTATCATCGAAATTGTCTGTAAAACATGATTCTTGATAATGGCAACAAAATGCACTTCTCAGGAGGCCTACGCAGAAAATCATTCGTCGCGATCGAATCGCTCGCTGTTTATCACGCAACAACGACGCGATACCCCAGTTTTTGTAAACTTTATCGTGCAGGTGACTTCATTGTTGAGAGGCATGTTTTATGATGTACATTATTCGACTTGAGTTACTGAATAAATCACACGAAGAACTGGCACGAAAATGTCAGCAAACAGGATTTACCGTATCGCGCAATCACTTCCTCACACACTCGCAGCTATTTAACGGCCGTCTCACGACTATGGTTGTATTCGTGAAAAAATAATGTTAGTGATATCATCATCATGTTGCATATCTACTTATTCTTTGATACTTACTCAACCGCAGGTGATAAACTTACACACACATGTATTATATGGCTTGTGGTCCTCCGTTTCGTTCAACCTCAACACGAGAGCTCTCTCTCTCTCTCTCTCTCTCTCGCGCGCACGCGCGCGCAATACTTATATCCTCGCGCAACCGTCGGTCCTTATACGTCGCAACGTAATCGCAACCTCGATATTTATACATCTTATTTTTTTACGTAGACTGTACAGTTGCATTTCCTCCTAAAATTAACCGTTTCAATGTTGACGAGGGAGGAGAAAAAGAGAGAGAGAGAGAGAGAGAGAGAGAGAGAGAGAGAGAGAGAGAGATACATATATATTCCTGTGCTGTTAAAGAAAGCGTTATAAAAATCCTTGTCCATAGGACAAGCAAGGTTTCAGTTGAAAGATGCAGGTGGGCGATGCAGTGTCGCGTTTGGCAATTTGTATCGTCGCAGGAAACGCAATGTCCCTTAGTAGTAACTCTCGTAGTTCCTTCTCTCTTTCCGGATTGTACCGCGCGGACACGACATTCCTTGCGAGTCGTTTCGCAGAGTGATCCATCGTAGACTGCGTTGCATATCGCTTGTATGTATGTATGCGAAACACGACGAGTCACTGCGAGACGCATTATCACGTTAGTCCTTAGCGCGGAAAGCATGACAGTGCCTTTATTGAGAAGATACGGTTTATCTATTACAATTGATTTTGTATAGCCTATTTTCGCGAGCCACGCGCGAACTCTCGACGCTTCGGTCGTCACGGCGATCGTACGCGAATCGCGTTTGCATTTCCCCGGAAATAAGCAGGAAGGCAGAGTCATCAACCGAACACACCCACACAGCAAAGATATTCAAAATATATCACAGGGTTATCCAGGAAGATATTGTGATACTCTTAGAATATCCCTGCGATGTATTTGGACCATTTCTGCTGCGTGGGACACGAGTGTCGTGACTGCAGGATAAATATGCGCGAGAAGAAAGATTGCTCGAGTTAACGTGACGATGAAGGAATCAAACAGCGATGTGGTCGAAGGTAGCTGAATTTCTGCTTCTGATGAAACGAATCCAGACTTAAGTACCAGAGATCAACTGAAACGCGGTTTTAGTTTCTCCGTTCGTTGTCACGTTGAGCAATTTTTTCCCCCGTGCGAGTATCATTATTCATGCATACGATGGTCAAGGTGGTCCAAATGTCGAAGAGCAAAAGTGTGCGCCACAGGTCACTCGGGGATCTCGGGTTTCATTCGTCGTCCAACGTGCCGCTCGCAGGCAACGTCATCGTCGGAAACGCGTGAAGAGTCGCGAGTCGCGAGACTGCAACGTGAAAACGATGAACGTTTCGTTTAAAGTCTGAGAGACTCAAGAAGCTAAGCTTGACTTCTCTCGTCTCGGGCGAATCGAACCCTTCCTCGGCATTCGCGTTCGTCTTCGTTTTCTCCTTTGTGTATAGGAAACAGGTGATTCAGCCATTGACGCACCTCGACACCATCCAAATTCAGACTGATATTCCTTTGTTTTTGTATTTCTTGATATTGTTTAATCTAGTCATACATCATTTTTTATTATTATATATAATATAGCTGTAATACTTTTGTGTATCTCTCCCATGACTACACGCTGTAACATAAAGTATATTGTAAATAAACATGTATAAGCTTGACTTCTCGAGAATAAAAATGCGCTATTCTTTAGAGTAATGCAGCTTCAACAAGGCGGGCACAGGTACGTGACACCCCGCTGTGCTGTGACTGCCAATTGATCGTTGGCATCGATAGGTGACATTCACAAGAGAGAGAAGCACAATTTACTCGACGCATTTGCGGCTTCGTATATGCGTATATTCGTGATACATATTTTATTTCTTACGCTTACGACTTCACTATTCGTCATTTTTATTTATCGTGTGCTGCACCGCGCGCGCGGCGTGTGTTTACACAAACCAGCCGGAATGACTTCGCGACTGGTGAGATCATGATGTTGTGCGGAAGTTGCGTAAGGGTATTTGCATGCGAGGAACTTGACTTCGAAATTCCGCGAGGCGACTTTACGTCACGGGTTGTACGACTGTTCGATTTAAACTCGCCCGATTTCTTGTTTCCGAAAGTCAAATCACAGCCCGTCCACCAGGGCCTTTAGTGTACTTTGACTTTGAATTGTCACACGTGTGACATTTTCTTAATCAAAATTTCATACTTGTTATATAATTATATCAATTCTTAAATATTGTTTCCGCAAACATTTCTCGAGGAATCGAAGAATTACAGTTTAGCGGAAGAAACGCGTTACACTTGAACGCACCACGTAACGATGTACCGACAACGGGGCGCTCGCTTCGCGAGAGCGCTCGGGGTAGAGCCGAAAAATGCCTGAAGCGCCGCCGCATCTCGTACTCGGAGCAGCCTCTCTACCGTGTCGCATGTACCCTGAAAAATCCGTAATCACCGTGGCATCTCGAGCAACCCCGAGAACGACGAAGCATCGTCGCGCGCGCTCAGCACCCGTTCATACTTGCTACGTCCCTGAGAGCGCGCGTGCGCGTGCGCACGCTTACGTGCGAGAGAAGAGGACAGACCGCTCGCACAGGCGCGAGCGAGACGCCGATAGGACGCTAGCTGCTACACACCGATGGCCACAGTGTCGGGTGCTACGGTGGTAGTGAATGGAACGCGGTGTGCCGCACGCCTCGCGTAGTACGACGCTCCGCGGGCACCGTGCGCCACCAATGGCCAGCGAGTACGAGCGGTCACGTGACGCGCGTGCCGAGCCAGCCAGCAGCAGAACATTGCAAATGACAAGACGCGTAGGGCATTGTCGTCGCGCCGCCGCCGTCGCTGCTGCCGCTGTCGCCGCCGCCGCCGCCGCCGCTGCCGCCGCCGTCACCGCCGCCGCCGCTGCCGCCGTCGTCGACCTCGCTGAGTGAATCCTTCCGGTAGTCGGTGAAAATCTCGTCGGTGGTTGTACTCCTCCGAGTCCTCCGTGCCGGGACGCCGGACGGGCATCCTCCCCGATAGTCGCGGTCGTTAGTTTGTGCGCGTGCGACTTCGTCGGTACTCCCGCGCCCTGAGAGAGAGAGAATCGCTTTTTGGACAAGAGGAAGCCGCCAGGTGCGCGCGTCCGCTCCGCGGAGCTGCGAATCGCTCGCCGGCGCCGCTCGCACGCCGCGTGCGGGAGAGAGAGAGAGACAAAGAGAGAGAGAGAGAGAGAGAGAGAGAGAGAAGAAGATGTCGAGCTCGCAGCGTATGCGAAAGTCCTCGCCATGCTCGAAGCAGGGTCCGATGCGCGCCACCCTGCCCGTGAGCTCGTTGCTCAGGCAGAGCCGGCAAGGAAGCAGTCTACGGAAAAGTAACAGCAACAGTCCCACCGTCTCGCCGACGAACGCGGCGGCCTGGCGGGCGCGCATCTCGCCAGAGACGTCGTCTTCCTCGGGACAGCGGAGCCCCGGGTCCCTGTCCTATAAAGGTACGTCGTCGTCGCCGCCACCGTCGTACCGCGGGCGTTCGTTCTTTGTGCTGCTCGTGGAATCCCCAATCGCTCTCACCCGGTGTGAGAGAGAGAGAGAGAGAGAGAGAGAGAGAATGAGAGGGGGAGGGAGAGAGAGAGAGAGAGAGAGAGAGAGTGTGTGAGAGAACGAGAGCGAGAGAGAAAGAGCGCTAGAGAAAAAGAGAGAGAGAGAGAGAGAGGGGGAGGGAGAGAGGTAGATAGATAAAGAGAGAAAAGTATGTATCCTTGATACATTGTCGCGCGCGCGTGACCTCCCACCGGGCACTGGGCTCATCGCCGAGGGCAAATGATCAGTCCCCAATGATGATTCTGGATACCCGCGAAATGGGTCCGACCGATACCGCCGCTTGGCCCAGAAGCGCGGGGTCGTCGGGCTGTTCCTCGGGACCAGGTTCCCCCAGGAGGTACATAGAGAGAGTGCTCTGTGCGAGGTTAATATTTTGCTGGTAAACGAAAGTCCATTTCATCTCCGTGGAAGATAGGGTGTCTTGCGTTGCTACGTTGTCAGAGGTATGTAAAAGCTGGCCAGCATTCGTTGCGCAGATGTGGGAGGTAAATATGTATACGTAGACTTTGTGTAATCGGGTTTACTTGGTTCTTCAACTCATTGATAACTGTGCATTCGCCGTATCGATCCGGGAGATCTCTCGCTCCTCTCCTCGTCGTTTGACAGGAAGAGTACAAAGAACAGCGGGGAAATGGGAAAGGGACATGTGGTTGTTGTGTTTGTATTCGTTTGATTCGGGAAAACAGAGTGAGGGTATAATTCTATTTACTCTCGAGTATATGACTTTCAGTTGTTTGTTGCGAAATTTGCTTACTCGTGAGTATCCAGTTAGTATCTCATTCTTTTTATCATCACTAATACCTTTACTGTGGAGTACATTTGTAACTTCACTTGTGTGGCTCTGAGAATCCTTTCTCTTGTTTCGGTTGATTGTATCATATTGTGCACACTCTACTATACAATGTCATGTCTTCACTTTTTGGAAAGTCTCGATTATATGATACTCATTTTCACTTTGCATCTTTATACATACATCTCACAACTACAGTAACCGAAGAAGACATTTTTAGTTCGGTTACACTCTTCGCGCTTATTGTTTATGACTCTTTTATCTCACAAACACATCTCAAAGTAGTCGGTCCAGCAACCGAAAACAATTCTTATAGTTCGGTCTGGTACACGCGTACTTCTCACGATACGATTATGTAACTGGTTTATTTTAGAAGTGAAATTTTCATGTTGCTCGATTGATTCAGCATTGCTGTGCTTTGCAGCCAAATCAAAAACGTTGAGCGGCCGCTGCACCGATAGCTTGAGTGGAAGCCAAAACATTCGACGAACAGCATCGCTGGATACCATCTACTTGAAAGGACAGTGGCCACGTGACTCTTATTATCTGCATTCCAGTCTTCTTCTGGTAGATAAGTCTACTCAGGTGAGAGGGCATTCTCTGTCTCTAGAAACATCTGCGTAAAACGCAGGAAATTGTAATCACAATGTATAAAATCGGCAAAAGAAAAAAGAGATCCTTAACTTTTGCTATTGTGAGAAACTTATTTGCCGTACTTAGTCCTTGGTCCTTGAATTGATCCAGCAACTTTTGCTTTCATTGCAGACGGAAGAATGGTCCAACGAACCGAGAAAAATGCACACTCGTCACCCCACAGATGAAAAATTGGACACTCGTCAAAACACCACAGATGAGAAAAATCCTAAAGAAAATTCTGTAGGATTGGAAAAATCTTACTTCAGGCATCGGTGAGTGTTCATATACTTTCTAACTGTTATTTTATATCTTTATCAAGGCACCTTGATGCATCGCCTCTTGATGCATTATGTCGCAGATTACAACGTTCAAAAGAAGGTACCAGCAGTAGAGAACGGACAGCGGCATTTGGACTAATCATGCCAGGTCCACCGCCCGCACTTCCCGGAGATCACTCAGTACTTCTGCCCAGTATTGCTTCACAGACATCTATGCGTAAGTAAACCATCAGAAGCTCCGTTCGTATCGCGCGAGATGTCACATCTAATATCCGCTATGCTTGCAGACAATCAATTCAGTTTGAGTACAAAAGCGAGTCCCATGAATATCCCGATGAAACCGATGAGGCCTCCGATGCGTTCGTCCATCGAAGGACTCAATCAGGAAATCGAAGGATTCGTGCTCAAATCTTCGGCCAATACCAGCGACGCAGACCATCCAGTAGAAGACAAGGTAGGAACTTGACGCAATTATTAACGTGATATTTTCACTCGGGACGATTGCGAGAGGCAATCGTCGTATGAGCTGTTGCTTGCAAATAGAGGGCAGGATCCCTTTCTTCTTAGCTATCGTCCGTACGATAATCAATATTCTGTCGATGTATGTGTGTGATTGTTGTGTATGTAATTTTTTTTAGTATGCACGATATCGCGAACAAATCACACCCGAAGGACATCGCGCTCCTTTAGCAGACCTACTGCGGGCCACTCGGAGTGTTAACACACAAACGCCGGCTACCGACCTTCCCTCCAGTTCTTATTCTTCAGGTAAGTCGCACGGCGGCGCATACTGCGCCTATTTTTCAGGTATATAATGTTAACGTAATCATGACTGTTGTTACATGTGTTGCAAAAAATTGTCCGCAACCGTTTTAGTTAGCAACCGTTTAGCGATAAACCCTCTCGAAAGATTGCCAGGCAGCAATCAAGATATTCGATATTTCAAAAACGTCACGTCGCCTTGAGATTACATTTCTCTTGTACAGGGGTGGTCCGTTATTGATGGCACATGATTCTCCATTAGTAAAAAGTAGATCGGGAATGTAGAAAAGAAAAGAAATTTTTCTCATGCGAGATTGCGTTTTCAGGAGAATCGATCTCGAATCGTTGAAAACTTGATGGTTTCTCTCGTTATATTTCGATGTTGATGCAACATTCAACTGTCTGATGTGTAGAAAATTGTCCAAAGTTACGCGGGACAAATGAAAGGCGATCGTGTAACTTCTCAATTTGATTTTCTCGAAAATCTCTCGTATCCAATTTATTTTCTCACGACGTGTAAAGTCGCGTCGTCGCGATTGTTTATCTATATATATATATATATATATACATATATATATATATGTGCATAGATATATATTCTGGTTGTTTTTTTTTTTTTATTCTGGTTAACGTACAATAGTATAAATAACACGCTAACTAAAGGTGTGCGCCTGTTGAGACAGGCCCTCCATCTAGGAATTCTGAGTCTCCGCTGATTCCTGGTGTTATGGATGCGTCCCGTCCGCCTAGCGATCTCTTACAAGGTTGGAGCATACACTTGCGGAAAGATTTGACATTTTCGTTTTTCACGAGTCTCATTTAACAAATTTGTTTGTCTTTATTACTCCCCCCAACTTGCTGTTGATTGATATTCCGCATTGAATGACTTATACGTATTACCAATGTATACACAAACGAGTACAATTTGCATATTTTTGCCGAGACACGTCCTAGGATATATTCGTCTCGTATATGCATGATATGATGATCATTCCGACCCCCAAAAAATCGTTATTCAAAAGATGTTCACAGACAAAGAAATTTGTGGTCATGAATTTTTATATACAGTTATATACATTTTTTTTTTGACGTCAGTTGCATTTCAAGATCTTATCAAACTTTTTACCATCAATAACACGCATATCACGTTAAAAAATGATATACAGCCTATAAATAAGTAAACAATAGGTAAATCAGATACTCGTGTACATATACTTGAACTAGTTGCATGATCTGCTATTGTTTATGAATATTTTACGTGTCGTTGAATTGCTTTCTTTTCATTCCTTCGATATCTTTTTCTTTTTTTATCGTTATAAATGTCGTTATTTATATATATATATATATATATATATTTAAATGTATATATTACACGTGAAAACAAACACTAATGTGTTAGAAGATATGCATGACGTTGCTACGATAAATTCAGCGTCTCAGAGGACAGGTATCTCAATAGATTTATTTCATTATCGTTTGTCTGTGTCTTTTATTTATATTAATTTGTTTTATTTATCGCAGTTGTTACTTTACAGCACGCAGCACGCAAAAGAAACAAGAATATCACAAATATGTTCAGTATCATACACGTCTTCTTTCTACATGCATTTTCCACATCCGTATCTCTGCTGTTACTAAATGTATGAATGAAGAAACACAATTTGTCAGTTTATCTCTATTTGTATTTATCGCAATATAAACTCGCCACGCGTCACACCATACCATACATAGAGTCGTTTATACACATTCATGCAAGTACCTATTTTAAAGACAACGAATGGCATGAATCTCTCCGTTATTTATCTTAATCATCGACACACGTTCAGAAACGTAGTATTTTTCACAAATACATGTCCCTTAATGTTCTTCTTTAATTTGTAGGCGGAAGCCGCGGGTCAACGCCTGAACAAGACAGAGAAGGACGTCTCGGCACCTCCCCTCATATTAACAGGTTCCTGGCGAGAGAACCACCCGATGGCTGTGAGAAAGTCAACCTCAAATTCGTGGAAGAAGCAAGGTAACGTTGAGATTGATACATCTTACGGCCACTTTATCATTTAAATGCGCGCACGCTGTTCGTGTGTGAATGTATGTGTGTATATGTTGTATGCCGTAGGCGGCCCAAAGATTTGAGCAAACTAGACTATTGCCCAAAGCCGTGCGTACCATTCCAATTGAAACCTAGCTTGGGATCAGCGTTCCTGCCATTGCAACAGCCGGCCAGTCCGACGATGGTCGCGAGTGCATCACCCTCCGCGCATACAACACCGACCACACCTCCTCCAAATCCATAGTCCCACTCTTTACCCTACGGTGTTACACCTATAAGCCCGATTAGTAGACATACACACATATATGTATACATATATATATAATACATATATAAATGTGTATATGTATATGTACATATATATATATATATATACATATATATATTTTTTTTTAACGACCATGTGGGTAGGAAGTGATTTACTTCGACATAAAGGCAGATATACACCGATAAAAGGAAAAGTTACCGAACAAAGAGGAGAAAAAGAACAGCCTGTTCCCAGTGCGCCCCGACAGTCGCGCTGCGAGCATCGTAAATTGTGTAATTAAAAAGAGTTGCGATGATTGCATTGATATAAAGAAAAAAAAAGAGAAAAGAAAGAAAAGAAGTATTGGAAGGCATCTGAGCTCCGTTATAATGTTCGAAACAATAATAAATACGAGGAACAATAATTTGTGATAACTAAAGAAAAAAATTACAAAAAGAAGACAAACGACAACGTTTAGGAATGAACATTGTGTTCTACAGGGAAAAAGACTAATGAAATTGTGTATTCTAAATTTAGTGCTAAAGTGTGCTAAACGACTTTAGTTTTGTATACACGGATAAATATTCAAGATGAGACAAAAAGAAGTATTAAATTTGATTGTTGGAATAAACGGAAATTATACGGATACAAAGGAAAAGAGCATGTGTGCACTGTATATATGTATACATATGTATACACATGTGTACGCATATATACCCATATGTATATACATCGCTGCCCGTCTATGATGTTTTCATTAAATTTTTATCGTTTCAAGTAATTCGACTAAGTAGTGACAGAGAGGGAGAGAAAGAGAGAGAGAGAAGGAAAAAGAGAGAGAGAGAGAGAGAGAGAGAAAGAAAGGTGAATGATTTGTTATAGAATTTGTATCGTTTTGTATTATTACTTGTACGCTAAAAATATTCTCAAACTATTATTGTACGAGGAGCTAGAAAAAATATTGTATCCCTGTGCATCTTCGTCTCACGGAAGTGGTCTCACACGAGGAGGTTTTCTGTTCAGGGCGAAACGTGCGGGCAGTTGGTTGTCACGAACTTGACACGTCGTGTGCACGTGGATGTGCACAAATTTATTTCCAATCGAATATATAAGTTGATTTAATATTTTTAACTTAAGATTCACAATCAAAGAATCAAAGTCTCAATATTTCAGAGCGTTGCATTCGCTGTTAATAAGACACTTTCTCCTCGTCGTTCTTCCGTTTTGTGTCGACGATGATACCATAGGGCTGCGATATATTTTTCGTTTATCTTATGTTACGTTAGATAATCTGAATATGTACAACCAACACACAACATGCAGTGACAGGTTGACGAATGTATGACAGAATGACCCAACGACACAAGATGGATATGTATTGAGTACAGAGATGATGAATGATAATATTAAATATTGATTGAAGTGACGCGACATGTGCTTTCGCCAGTGTGGTATCAGATGTGCATAAAAAAAAGAAAAACGGCTCCCTAATCTGGCGTGGAATACAGATGTGCGTGTATGTTTTTTGTATAAACGCGGATGATTATTTCGAAAAATATATAATCTGCGTCTTATGCAAGCGACAGTATGCATGTGTTGTAATATCAGAATCCTGATATTAAGCCATCCACGAATAACTTTGATAACAAATGATTGTTAACAAGAAGCACGTTATACACGTGAAATGTTCACTAAAGTGCAGGATGGTTACTCATTTCTAAAAAAAGAAAAAAAAAGAAAAGTAAAGAAAAAACTTGTGTTGCATTACATTAGACAATTAGAAAATTGAAGAAAGAAAGAAAAAAGATTAGAGATGAGAAAAATGGGTGTGTCGCTTCCATTTTTACCGAAGATACTTATCGCGATATTAATTAACAAAGATCTTAAAGGAGATTATTAAAATACGAATGTGAAAAAGAGAAAATGCGAGGGAGAGAGCGAATGGAAAAAAATTGTAAGTTATTCGTGCGATGGGTTAAGTTATTGTTTAGTATACGCAGACACATAGCCACTCAACGAGTTCAATTTATTTTTTGCTTTCTAATACGAACGTTTTGCAAACGGTTTTTATAGATTACAGTCAGTGGAGAAGAGAAAATAAGAATCTTAATATAGAGTGTAAAGTCGAGAGTGGAAGAAAGCGATTTTTTAAATACAATAGTAAAATATACTTTCTAATAATATAATGTATATCTAGCTACGCGCGACAGTGAAGAAGAGGAGGAAGAGAGGAAGAGGAGGAGGAAGAAAAGACGAAGAAAAATAAGAAGAGAAAGAGGAAGAAAAAGATGAAGAAGAAAAGAATGTTAACACATAAGTACCTGGCACACTGGTCTATGCTCTCTCTTATCCAGCTCACTAGGAAGTTCATGCCTTAGAATGCGTGGTAAGGTGTGCTACATAGACAAGAAGGTTAATCAGAGGGTCAGGATACACGCAAAACGCACTGGCTAGTTTAAAGTGTACACAATACAAAGATACTGTAGTATTTACTAGCTTAAGAGAACCTCGTTTTTATTTATTTTGCTACAGATCTATAAACGACACCTCGTAAATACCACCTTGTCGCATCGATACTTCAGTGTGAACGTAAAGCAGCTTCGAAGGAAAAAAAATGAAAAAAAAAAGAATAACAGCGTATTCAATCACACGTAATTCTGTCTTGTTCGTGCTTTGCACCTACGCGGAGGACTTTCCGACGTTTTAACGCGAGTGAAACGAGAGGTGGGAGCAGGTTTTTTCGTATTTTCAACAGTGAGTAGTAGTTGAGGAAAGAGGAAAATGAGAAAGAAAAAGACAAAAAAAGAGGATCATTTCAGCGAATACGCGCTAGCCTCGTTACTTTTCACCGCACTCTCTCAAAGGCTCCACTTTTTAACCTTCGTGTACTTGCATAATGTGTTATCATTACTGTTAGCTTTTGTTGTCAATCTCATGAAACGGAGTTAATGCGTAATGAAGACTGCTGAAACTCAAAGAGATCGCCTGTCATATTCGTATATACCTGAGAAAAGACCTAAAGTCAAATAAAATTAGGCTCAAATCACACCGCAATTTTACCTATGTAAGTATACTCTCTTTGTAATTCATTACTAAGTAATCTCCTTACGTGACTACCGGTACATTCTCTCTACATATCTAAATCTGAGCAGGCTTCAGAATGGCAAAATGATTATGTCAATTAAAAATTCGTTTAACCTTAGGACTGTCTAGATGTATTGTTGCAGTATCTTGCACAAAACGAAGAAAAAAAAATGATTGTTGAACGTGTATTGTAATTCGTAAGATGCTCAGAATTATACAAACTTTCCAGTACATAAAAAAAACATGTATGTTGTATAAAATATCTTAAAAAAAAATTTTATATACCTGCTGAAATTAAAATGCAACTTTTATTCACTGTTTTATAATAAATATATGAAACATTTATATTGTTTTTTTACTCTCTCTCTCTTCTTATAGAGGAACTCTGTTGCGACCTGTTGTTGTTTCGTCGAGATTGTCGTTTTTTACATGTGTACGCGTGTAAATGTTGTATGTAATGTTCACATGCAACACGAGAGCGATATGTTACTTGCGACGATTGAACGCCACGTGTATCACTTGGAAAAGTTTGAAATTTTGCGTTATAGTTTCACTCCTAAGGAGGTGTTTCGATCGTCAAGATGTAACTTGCAATTGTTCACGAACGATCATAAATGAGCAGAAAAGTGGAAATACCATATATCGCATTACAATCTGTCGTGTTAATTTACTTGGAAAATTCAACTGTAAGAACTCACAGACGCAGGTTTGGCATCTCCCGTGTGTTCCGCAAAGAGTATCTTACAACGTTAATTTTTTATACCATCAATTTTACCCCGCTCCGTTTTGAGATCATTTCGAGCGCTTGTTTGACTTCTGGCCGGTCCTAAGGCTAAATCGACGTTACTCAGCGAAGAGGAAATCAGAGCGTGTGTAAATAATAAGCTGTTGACGCTTCTTGTATTAACAACTCAGACGACATAGTTTCCCCGTGAAGCGAAACGACCGAAGCTCGTCGCGCGGACATTCCGCGTCGTAAAATATATTTACAAAGTGTACAAGTTACAAAAAATTATAAATGCGTAAGAATGCGTGCTGTCCACCACGAGCGGCTGGATATCTGAAACCTGTTTGACAATTGTAGGTCAATGTGTGATATATTACATGCACGCACAGCAAGACCATTTGTTAACGTGTAAAATGTGCTATTACGTTCTTTCCGTTTTTTTTCCTTTTTTCTTTTCTTTTTTTAAGAATGATGTTTTTAGTCTTTCTTTCTTTCTTACGATACACATATATGTATACTTCGTTATTCTGGACAATTTTTAACGCGGAAATAATGCTTTTGTGTGTGTGTGTGTGTGTGTGTGTATGTGTGTGCATGCGTGAATACGTATGCGAGTGTGTACGGTAGGAAATGTTTTACGAGATATTTTTCGATTAGTGCTACTTGGCCCGAGAATCAGTCCTGTATCAGTATTGTAAAAAAAATATATATATATATATGAAATTTTTTTGTAACGGACGAGAATTCGGTGAAGTACGCGAAATGAATATATATCCGGAACAAAGGTAGTGAGATGCAATATTCACGATGAATTGTGTGATACTCGGCGCGGTCGCCAAAATCGGCTGTCGCGAACACAGCGCGTGACGCGCGAATATGAATCGTATTTTTGTAATTACTTTGCACTCTTCGTTGATTTCGTTCACGCCGTATATTCACGCCCGCCGAGACAACCAGCTGAGATCCCAGAGGCCGGGCGGATTGTAGACACGCTATTACTTTCATTACTCTCCCGTGATTCTTTCTCCTCTTCCCTTCGTTGGCAAAAGCGTCAAAGCACCAACAGTTTTCAAGCGATCCTCGAAGATAACGGGATGTTCTCGCAGATGCTGAGTGAAAAAAAATTCCTCAAATGACGTCTTTCGAACACCGCCCTCCGAAGTGACGCTCTCGAGAAGAGAGAGATCGCGATTGTTGCAAAGCCGGGAATCGGCCGGGAAGACGACGTCATCGTGGCGAAAAAAAGCGTCAATAGCGCGACTCGCTAAATTCTCCAACGCGATCTCCGCGCGCAACATACACATCCGCATTACGAAATTAACGAGCGTGTTATTGTTAGCGGTCTTGAACTCTGTAGATAAACACACTTCGCGCCTTTTAGTCCTCCGTCTATCGAATGCTTCGATGCGTGTTACACGGTGCTTCGGGTTGAGAATGTACATGTTTGTCTTCTCTCTGCCATTCTTCGTTCGAGCGAGTGACGTGGATGATTCAATAACGGCCGATACTACGCGATTGTGTGACGATGTTAGCGTACTTTAAGCTGATTCTCGTGAACAATTGGACGTGCACATCGACCGTCGCGCGGTCGCTTCGCGAAGCGACATATAATTCTCTCACCGATTCTCATTCTCTTCGCGTGTGACCGTAGGGAAGAGAAGAGAACAATGTTAATAGCGATAAGTATACTCGTATATAAGTCAGAGCATACCCTGTGCTATATTAAGGAGAGATAATAAGAGGATAAAACTAAAGGGAACTTCTCTCTCAATATGGAAAGGTGAGCACAGCCAAAGTGTTGCCTAGTACAAATATATTGTAAAGAAAATCGCGGACTGTTGGTCGAACAGGCCCTTCGAAAAGTGCTAATCCGCGCGCTCTCTCGCGCGCGGGTTCCTCTTTCACCCGCTCTCCCCCTTTCCCTCGCCCTCTCCGCGAGGCACACCAGAATCGATGTTTGATCTTACGCGAGAGCTCCCTCTTTGTATTATCTTACCTCTCCATAGTGAGAACAATATATTCTATGTAAATTGTTGAAAATTTGTGGTTTTTTCTACACGCGCAATTAGTTTGTACTCTCTCTCCGATCTACTCTATCTACCGGCATAATACCGTACATGTACTTATTCCGATAACGATATGCACCTTTATTTTTGTCATAAGGGATAAATGGAAAAAAGTGTACCTTTTTATATTACTATTAAGGCGCCTTATGCATAAATAAACTTTTTAGAAAAACGGGACCGACCGGTATCTCGCAATACCTGACGATGTCAATTTTCGCCTTTCAATTCAGTCTCTCTCTCCTCAATAAGGACTTATCTCCACGTCTCTTCTCAGTCGAGCGCGACGTATTCGACGTAAATTCGCGTTGACTCCATTCATCCTTGCTGCGTCATCGTTTGTATTCACACAGATTTTCATTGTACTAACCGGGAAGCTCGAACACACATATCTTCCTTCAGTCTCTCTCTCTCTCTCTCTCTTTCTCTCTCTCTCTCTCTCTCTCTTTGTCAATATTAACCGAGAAGGGATTTTAGGCCGGGACAATAATCTCTGGCGATAATGAAACATTAAAAACATGAGCTATTATTTTCATTAAAAAAGAAAGAAGTCGAACCAATTCTCCTGCAATTGTCTACATATTAGTTTACACACACACGCACACATACACATGCCGGTGTCGTACAGGTCACCGCCCGCGTGTATGGGGATGTATTCTTATATACATTAAACACATGTAATGCGTTCTCTTCTCTTCTTAATCGTCAACAATACGTCGCATTTAACAAGATTCTCGTTTAATCAATTAAATTAAGGTTATCTCCATCTTTTTTCTTTTTCGTTCCACGTATATACAAATTGTCCATAAAAATTGTCATGATTATAAACCCATGTATTGAGGGGAGGAAGAGAAAGTACTTCTTGCGGAATTATTTTTCCTCGATTCCTCGGCATTAGGGCTATCACTGAAACAAAAATCGACGGTGATATCTTGACGGTGAGGATATTCAAATGGACGATACTAATTTTCCGGCAGAATACGTACTAACGACATTCTCTGTTCTTTTTATTTTCCAGTGTCCGTGGACCGTGCGATCGAATCGCGTTCATTTTTAGTCTTCATATGGAACACTTACCCAAAGAAAGGCATCAATGATATGAGAGTCTGCCTGCTCGGCCTGCACGAAAACGCGGGAGAACATTGTGCCATTCGGCCAACGATTCGTCGCAGCCACTGCTGTAGTTTTTGTCGTCTCTCCTCGACGAACTTTGCGTCCTGAAAGTGTCATCAATCATGCTCGCAGTGTCGTCGAGAATACGCGCTTAAACGGACATCCAGTGGGTGAAACTTCTCACGTAAGACATACCTTATTTCCTATTGTTTTCTTTGGCGGAAATTCGAAAGTGGCAACGATAGCGTCGTGTTTCTTCAGCTCTCTATAGAGAGCGTAAAATTGAGCATACCGTCGGTAAATGTTCCACTCCGTGTCCCGTATGCGCACGTAGATCTGCAGTCAACGCAATGAGAACACACAAATCAGCTTGGCCCAATGGAAATGTCTCATAATGAGAAGACGTTAGACAAGGAATAGCCATACTTGATAAACATGATGGATGTCGGATGGTTGTCCCGTTAAAAACGCTGATGGGATCCATATGTGAATGAGACATGGCGGCTCCGAGGGCAAGTCGTCCTCGTTCAATGGTCCTCGCAGACACTCCAATTCTGCTTGCAACATCTTCACCAATCTATCCCTGACAGACGAGACACAAACGATGAGCGAAAAAGGCAGGTTACTCGGCTGGTGACTTCGCAACGACTCGTACCTGCTTGTCAGCTGCAACGTCAATCTAGCGTTGAATTCCATCAGCTCGGCGTGCATGTCCGCGACCTGTATCAACTTCTCTTCGTATTGCCGCGCCTCGTTGTGATAATCCAAGGACGGATCTTCCTCGGATATGGTCGTGGAGTCCGAGTCCCTTCGTAACATCTGAACAGCGGTCACGTACTTGCGCAATTGTTGCCGCAAGAGTTCGTTTTCCCTGCAGCCGGAAACAAGGTGGGTCATTTACAACTCGCTTCACTGCTCGATGTATCATTCAGCAGCGAATAATGAGCACACTTAGCTCGACATTCCTACCATTTGTTCGCGTAATTTAGATTTTTCTCTTCGGATAGATCTGTCTGCAATTACCTGTTTAACGTTTGCAACTGCAGCTCGTGCCTCTCCAAATAATGCTGATGTTGCCTCTGGAAACGAGCCAACTGTAATCTGCTCGTTATGGCGTCTTCTCTAGCTTGCTCCAGCACTTCCGTCATGGCCAAGAGTCTCACACGTAAGGTATCTATATCTAAATTCTCTGGATCTACATGGAAGTCTAAACCGATCAACGGCTCCGTGGCCTCCATCGCCGCCTCCGTCACCTCCGATGAGTCCTGTGCGAGAAGGTTTCACAGAAAGATTACATTCTTCGAATCTTAAAAATTCGTTGGGAAAAAGAAAGGAAAAAAGAACACACACGCGGCTCATATCGAGAATAATTGTGGTGCGAAAACTCACGTCTAAGTAGTTTGGCAGAGTGACTAACATATCGTCTAATGTTTGATCGAGTGGTGACACAGGTACAAGGCCGCCCAAATTTTCAGCGTCCGTCACAGGAGTTAAAATCTTCTCTTCCTCGAAGGATTCACTGACAATATCAGAACAGATCTTGTGAGAAAAGTGCGCGAAAATCTTGCGGCTGTTTGTTACATAATCATTGTGAAAGGCCCCTACCATTGTTCCCATTCAGGAAACTTCGTACTGTCTACCGTATTATCATTGGAATCGACTTGAGGTTCAGGAACTTGATCCAAGCACGGAGAAGCAGAGTCCTTGGTCGACGTTACAGTGGGAGAACTCAGGCACGTCGCGGGAGCGCTCATCGAAGATGTAGTCTCCTTGCGCTCGTCTCTCTCTTCGTCATCGTCGAAGGAAATTATGTGGACTGGTACTTTCTTTTTCTCATGCTGAGACGTAGGGGGTCCTGTTCGATAGATCATGATTTCAGCTTGTTCAGCAGTCAGGTAAATCTTGAAAACTTCTTTCATTATATCAACACGACAGACATGTCGTTTTTCTGTTAAATTCCATTTCTCTTAAATAGTCGTTGAGAGTTTATTTATTTATTTATCTTTTTTAAGGAAGAGTATCGAGAAATTAACCTCTGGATGTACACATTTGATGCTCGATAAAAGCTATTTGTTATTTTTCGTTCTTTATCTTATCTGGAGAGGATGTCGGCTTAATTATCGCGATTCAAGCTCGGTTTGCTCACCTGGGACCAATGCAGGGATAACCGGCTCCGACTGCACACCTCTACTTCTGTCCATTCCCTTCCCCTTCAGGTTGTCATCGAGTTCCTCGTTGTCTATCCTTATCGCGAATAAAATTGTACCAAGGCCTACGGAGAAAATCGAATTAATTTACGTCGCGCGATGAAAAAGCGAACAGTGCGTGGCGATTCGTTCGAGCGCAAATACCTGCGGCTACATTGGGTAAGACTGAACTCTTCTCCTGATCGAGTAAAAAGGCCCACTCCTCGTAGAAGGGAGACAACGCGCCGGGATCTATAATGGCGTGTAAATGCCGTTCCAGGGATTTCTCGTTCAAAACGGCTCTCAGCCACGCTCTGCCACGGCCGTAATCCGTGTGTACCTTCCGCAATACGCTGAAGCGTTCTTGCTCGTGCCATGTGAGTTGTTCCTTTATGCACGGCCAGAACGCCACATAGGCCACGTTGCCGGGTGTTATATTACTACCGGAGACCAAGTCGGATACGTGTCTGTACGGGAGAAATGTGAGGACTTTTTAGAATGTTACAGGCTTTCATTACTTGGTGCAACTTTTCGAGCGGATGTAATTAGTTTTGTACGAGAGCTTGTGTTAGAAATTTATCAGCGGACTAGAGACATTTATCATTCTACTCGTGAGTCATATCTTGGATAAATGCGTGGTCTGTTTTATGACCTTGTCCTTCACCATGCAGCACATTGGAAATTGTAGAAAGAAGATAGATAGTTTAACTGGGTATCACAATATGGTATGCGTTACCTGAATGCTGAGTTGATCTTCTCTATGCAATTTGTCTTTATCCCATGACTAAATATCAATTCGAATATATGACAGAGCTGAGCTATACATGCTTCCGATTCTGTGGCCAACTCTGCACGTCCTCCAAACCTAACGTGGCAATTTTTTGCAGCAGCCAACAGATCCTCCAGTAGCTTTTGCTTTTCAGTCACATGATCGTTATCTGCTACATTGTGTGTACTTGACACTATGGCTGACATTATACGCAAAGCCTACAATGAATGATGTTAAAAAAAACAATTATATGCATCTTATGGTAACACTTGCAATATTTACAATGACTGTAGTCATTCCTCATGAATGACATATAGTTTAAATTTGGATAGCAAGTAATTGTGATTCTATTCTATGTTTATGTCTAGCACATATCATTTGGTTTGCATATAATTATAATTCTAGAGAACTTCGTATAGTTAATTAGACCCCATGGAGTGACAGTGCTAAATCACTAAACAATTTCAAGCTCAAGAAGTTTCAAGTATAATATTCGATTTAATCCTTGTCACAGCACACACAGTAACAATTAAAAAACTTGAAGACAGCAAAGTGCAGTCGTACTGCGGAAGAATATCCGCATTCACACCGCGTTCCTCATAAATCATTAGATATCCGGAGAATCCGTATATGTTTGTCGCGACGCACAGTCCTCAAATGGATTTACGGACTACGTAACGACGGCGAACCAAGTTCCGAGCGTGAAACAAGGAAGTCTACGACGAGCAGATTGTGAAACAACAAAAATAATAGCTCACGATGCCCGAGCGATGTGCCAATGCGATGGGCTATTACGAATTTCTCCAGATTTCTCCCGGATGCTCGTCCGTCATTTTATCATCGCGAGGCTGAAATGAGGTTATGGCCCTATTTAAATGGCATTTACTGTCATCGCTGCCATTTAACGTCACGACGCGCGCGCGGGGAACAACAAAGGAATCGACGGACGCGGGCGTAGAGCGAAGCGCGTGCACGTACGTACCATTTAAGCGACGCGGTGATGATCACTGTTTCGATTACGCTCTCAAAGGTCGCCAGCGTTCATCGCTGACCGCGAGACGCGACGAGAAGCGGATATTATCGCACTGACGAGCCTAGTTCACCGTTGTCGTCGGAACGTCACAACATTTAGTACACGAACGATGTCCGCTCAGTGTCACGAGGAAATTGCAAAGTCTGCAAGAACGCCCGACGTGCCCAGCGGAGGTACTTCTCATTCTCATCGCAGACCACTCGTAATAGCAGAGGTAGCGACAGCGGCGGTAGTTAACGACTTACTGCCGTTTCCCGGGAATGGTACGTCAGCGCGAACGGACCCGGACGCGCAGTGGCAACCCAAGCAGGACAGAAAATAACGATGACATCAGAATGACGTCAAAACGATGAGGAAAAGTCATTTTTTCATTATGATTCGGACATTTTCTCATCGATCATTTTCATGTCATTTCGATGTCATCGTGATTTTCCGTTCTACCTGGGAAGGAAAGAGACGAGATCGTTACTTTTACGTCATGGATCGTGCGCGAGAAAAGATCTCGCTGGAAAACAGCATAAAGAACAGTTTGCGTTTCCCTCCGAGAGACATTTTATGTATAAAAATGCAAAATATACAATATAATATCTAATGCAATGTACAAATGCCAGCTCCAAAATGGCCTCGACTTTAACATATATAGGGAATATCCTCCTGAGTGACTTTCCAAAGATTTTAGCTATCGTTCATTGTTTGTTATCAACAAAAGAAGTTTCGTAAATAGAGTCTTGTATACTATATCGGAAAAATTTATGAAATTTTTTTGGTAAATATATAGAAAAGGGTACACCTCATCGATTTTTTTCATTTTGAAATATGTTATAAAGGATGAAATTCTGAGTGACTTTTCCTAATACAATTATATGGGGCTCGCTTATAGTTTCTGAGATATTTTACTTTAAAGTTGTATACTTGTACGTTGAAGTATATTTGAAGTAGAGGTAAATATATAGAAAGGGATATACTTCACCGATATTTTCATTTTGAAATATGTTATAAACGATGAAATTCTGAGTAACTTTCTGATACAACTACCCAGACAGCACACGGATGTCCATTGGACGTCCGTTATATGTCCATTTTTTTTACAAAAGACGTCCATAGGACGTTTGTCACAACTTCGGACGTCCTACAGGCCCGATGTCCAATAAGGACATCCTTGTTAAGGGGCTTATCTAGTGTGACGGTTTGAAAAAATCGAATTTTTTTTTGCATTTTTTGACAGTTTAACATCTGTAGAATAATATCCTGAAGTGTTATGGTCGTATCTGAAATATTTTAGAAACGGCAGGTATGAAACGACAGCGCAGCTGGTCGGGGGCCATAAACTCGATTCTCGCCGGCGAGGCAGGACGCCGAGCAGTTGCGGTAGTTCTTAGGCTTTGACGTAATCGTTTATACTTCAAAGATAGAAAAGAGAGCCTGGTAGTTCCAAAGACTCACAATAATCCCTTTATGTTTGTACGAAAGCGTTATTGACAACTCAAAAGGTTTCGAAGCCGCTCGACGCAGGTATACGTAAGCGGCCCGTTTAGTTCATTTTTAGCCACTGTGCAGAGCACATCGCAGCGCGAATTTCATTCAAAATGAGTGGGAAAAGTCAATCTAGTGTTCAAAAAGGCACACACGATACTCTAGCGCGTAGAAGTACCAATAAGAAAAGAAAGTTCCAGGGAAATCGACACACGCTGGAGCAGTCGACCGAGTATACCAGTACGACATGATGAAATTTAAACATGACTATCTCCCTCTGGACCTACAGATTCAAGAAGTTCTAGAGCCAATTTATAGTGATTTAAGTAGGCCTGAATTATTAAACAGGTGCAAGGGTAGTAATACACAAAATAATAACGAAAGTTATAATGGTTTGTTGTGACACTTTGCTCCTAAACACCTTCACAGTGGTTTAAAAACAATAGAACTGGCCAATTTCTTTGCTGTTGCAATTTTTAATGAAGGTTTCCAAGCTATTTTGAAAGCATTTGAAACAATGGGAGTGATTATTGGGCCCTCTGCCAAAGATTATGCAGAAAAACGAAACATGAAGGTAGCAGAAAAACAGCACCGCGAGGCTTCAAAGGAGGCTCGGACAGCTCGCAGGACAGCTGCAGCGGCCCAGCAACAATTTTTCGAACAAGAGGAAGGCGAATTACATGGGCCTGAAATAGCTGAATAGCTGTAAGTATGATAAATTTTCTTTTATAACAAAAAAATCAATAGTTAAAACTTGAAACGCGTTTTTCTCGAAACAACGTTTTCGAAATTTGTTGCAGTCATAACTCGCGAACAAATTAATGAATCAACTTCAAATTTGATAGGCATAGGCTCAGTACATGTTTTGTCATACAGTAAACTAGGATTTTTTCAATCCGTCAACAAATGTCAATTTGCCACGCAAAAAACGGGCACTTTTTTTTGCTTCGAAATTCGAACTTTTTCTTTTACAACACCGTAATTTTTTTAATTTTCAATATTTTTTCATAATCCTAGTTCACTGTATAGGAAAACTTATCTCGTTTAACGCCTTTTTTGTCTTCTTTTATTTCAGGCACTCTGACGTCACTTATCGCTGCAGCAGTTGGGCTACTTTTTTTTTACCTCCGAGAAATTACTAATATTTCCAATACATGTCAATATTTTTTCGTAATAATATTTTTATAACTTCTTCAAATGTTACTTAATATAGCCTCAAACTTTTAAAATATATGGTAGAATAGTTTTTTTTTTTTAATCCTCGAAAATCGCTCTCATTTTCATGTGGTCACACTAGATAAACCCCTTAAAGACGTCCAATGTATCCGTCCACGGACGTAAATCGGACATACGGACATAAATTGGACGTGAAACGTACATCCATTGGATGTCCGGTGCTGTCTGGGTATATGTCGCTTATAGTTTTCGAGATATTTGATTTTAATTTGATTTTGGAATTTTTATTATCCTGGAATTAAATTCCAGATATCATAAGCTGACGTTATTTACAGTAGAATCCAAACAGTTAATCCAAACATAGTGTATAGGAAACAGTACATGGAAACAAACATAGAAATATAGGAAACTACATATAAGCGGGAGAGGGGCTTCGCCTCTCCCCCGTACCCCTCCCAAAAAAAATTCTAACCCAACCTAACTTATTGCATCTTTATATATTGTTGAGCGATGTTGAAAAGATCTCCTTAAACTTAGCTACAATACCTTAGCTACAATACCTAATTATATGCAGATATTATATAGAGATGTGCGAATCAAGAATTTTTATGTCGAATCGGATCGAATCGAATCTCATTTTTTTAATTCGAATTCGAATCGAATCGAATCTATGAAATTTCATTCGAATCCGAATCGAATCGAATCAATAAAAAATTTAACATGACTATTAAACATGCACATAATGATGGAAGGTTTTAATATGAAAGGGGATATTGATATTGTAATATCATCTTAAAGTAAAATATATATTCAAATATTTAAAGTAATTTATAATTAAGTTATTAATTATAAGTTAAGTTAATTACAAGTTAAGGGTTCAAACATACAGGCCCAGATGTCTCGTTCTGTACTTGATGCATGCAAATATAATGCACGCTAATATATTTGATTCGTAATTGAATCTTCTATTCGAAATTTTCGAATTATTCGGATTCGAATCATAGGGATTCAGATTCGAATCGAATCGAATTACATTAGATTCGATTCGATTCGATTCGAATTCGAATAGTTCGCACATCTCTAATATTATAATAAGTTAAGTTGAGCCAGGTGATAGATCTTAAGAGAACTTTTTTCAACAATGTCCAAAAATATATAAAGATGCAATAAGTTAGGTTAGGTTAAGATTTGTTTGGGAAGGGGGTGCGGGGGAGGGGTGGAGCCCCTCTCCCACTTATATATACTGTTTCCTATATTTAAAATGAATGAAAACTATTCATCTACCTTAAATATACTTCAACATACTTATAACAACGTAATTATAAAATTTTAAAGTCAAATATCTCAGAAACTATAAGCGACCCCTATATAATTGTATTAGAAAAAGTCACTCAGAATTTCATCCTTTATAACATATTTCAAAATGGAAAAAATCGGTGAAGTGTACCCTTTTCTATACATTTATCATTTTTTGTTAATAACTTTTTAATAAACAATGAGCGACGACTAAAACTTTTTGAAAATTAATTAGGAAAACGACCTTGAAAATATATATCTATATCATTATCGATGATGATATAGATATATCGATGATATAGACATGTAGAATAATGATGAAAACGTCAGTGTCGTCGTTGTGTCATGGTCGGTATATATTTATATGATATTTTTATGTCGTAATTTGTATTGCCATAGTAACTAAAATATAGTATGGTCACCAACAAAACACCAATAAAGACTGTTGGTCTTTATGGGATTTGGAGTACCAGAGAAATCGCGCTGAACGCTAACATCCTCTTAGGAATATTGTGAAACAAATATATATTTCTCACTCTAACTTATTGCATCAGTGCAGCAGTGCAGCGAAAAAGAACAGGCCTTATATTTATATATATATATATATATATAGCGTGTAATAACTCATATAGCACAAATCTTGAAAGGATGTTTTAAGAACGTTCTAAGGACATTCATACATCCTAAGAACGTTCTAAGAACATTCTCTGAAGATTTGGTGCTATCTGGGAAGTAATTTTATATTTTTGTGGTAAAATTAAACAATATTTGTATGTTGTTATAATTTCATGAAGCAATGTATACGAGAGATGGTAGATGATATTGGGTTGTTCAAAAAATCATTGCAGTTTTTTCAGTGATTTTCAAGACTTAATTTTATACAAAGAATTAACATGAATCAATGATGTTAATGAACGCAAGCACTTTGTGAGGAACCCAATAGTTCAATATATCGCATACATTGTTTCATGAAATTATAATGACATTGTTCGGGAATGCGGCCGATCCTGCAGGCGCGGGCGGCCGTCCCGGCCAGCGCGACGCCTTCGTATAGCCTAACGCCGATTGTGTCAAACTCTAGTGTCTGGTTTGTGCGACTTATTTATCGCGCCCATCTTTACCGACCGTCCTTCTAGACTTTCTTAGAGCAGTTTTCTCTCTTAGAGATTCAAACCAACGCACTCTATACTCTGCTGAGTAGATTGCGATGCTAATACACCCTGCTGGGTTTGAGGCTTTACGGCGAGACTCGACTTTAGCTTTGAGTTCGCTTTGTTGCTACGATTCAGGAGCGATCTTGATCGCCTCCGTGTGGAACAGAACTCTCCTTACGAGCATTCGTCAAGGACCTCGGCTGTTAGGGACGGCCATCTCCCTGGGAGTTTTACGAGAACTCTCTTT